TGTTGTTGGCGCGGCGGCGCGAGTTGCGTCCTGCCAGTGGCTCGTAGACGTCGTCTTCCTCGTCATCGAAACTGCTGACGCTCTCTTGCTTGATGGTACTAGGGGAATTGCTCAGGTAGGAGGCTTGACCCCAAGCGGGCTGCATGGCGCCGAACGAGCGATGGAAGTTGACCGGGTCGAACAGCGAGAGTGGTGTTGCCGAACGTGATGATGTCGACGCACCTCTACGGTTGAGCTGCGGGTCGAGCAGAGTCTGCTCACGGAGGCTTCGCGTTGCGCGACGAGCAGCTGATGGAGCGGGGGTGCTGCGTGCGGAGTTTGTGGCCGCTGCGATCTGTGAGCAAAGAACATGTATGTAGTGAAGACGCACGTACTGGTAGATCTACGCGAGGCGGAACCACTGCCGGCTTTCTTCTTGTCTTTCTGGCTCATGCGCTCACGCATCAGCTCCTCCAGTCCGTAGTCAGCGTACCACTCGTCGAAGTCGTCAATGGTGCGCTGAGCTGCAGGGTCGGAGGTGCCCTTGACTTTGAGCTTGTAATAGGCGGAAAGATGGCCCTTGCTCTGGATGTGGGTGAGAAGATGGCTCACGTCCGAAAAATCGGGCCGCCGTGGACAGACATTGCAGCTGAGTGGGATGTTGCTCGTTACATCTCCTTGTAGCAAGTTCATGCGAGGCAACGGTCAACGTTCGTGATCGACAGCTCCGCCGTTTGCGAGTGAATGTGGCGTTATGCAGGCGTGCTGCAGCGTTTTTTTCACGCGAGATGCGGTGCAGCTGTTACTGCTGCCGCCGGTTGCGAGGGAGTGACGCCGGTGAAGTGCCGTGGTCAGTGAGTGGGTGCTGGAAGCAGCTATTGAGGATGCTCGGTGCGCTCAAAAGGAGAGACAATCCAAAAGGAAGGACGAACGAGCAGACACCAAGAAGAAGGCGTTGGTGGTGAAGTTGGACGGTTGATGAAGGAGAGTGGGAGGAGAGGAAGACAGCCAGGCAGAACGCCCGAGCGATTGCTCTGGAGCTGGTGTCGGGCAGGTTACCTCGTGCTGGGTGCTTGCTGCTGCGTCGATACGCGTTGTACTTGCCGGAGTAGTTGTCTGGTGAAGTGACGGTGGAAGTCGTCGGCGTCTGCGGCCTGGAAAGAGCGTTTTATGCACGCCGTCAGGCAGGCGCACAGACCTGCTCACGATGCTTGGCGTCAACCTACGCGAGTGGAACGACAACAGAGCGTTGAGAATTGGCCAAAAGTGAGGTGAAATGCTCATCAGGCCTTTATCAACGCGCGTGGTGGATCGCGGCGGTCGTGTTGCTCTTCGTGACGCTGTAATGGGTTCAGCCAGACGTTTTGTGACTATCTGAAGTCATGCATGTTATGAGCGAAAAGTATCCTCAGCGCTGCTCGTGTAACGCCGAGGTCAATTGTCATGCAGCTCAAATTTCTTCTCCTCTCCCATTGTAGCCCGGCCTCATTGACGAGCTCAACACGGGTTATTAGATTGCGAGAGGGACCAGTGGCGCGAAGCACGCGCATGCATCTTGCATGTGACTACCTACCGTGATGTGCCACACACGTTGCCAGGGAACAAGAAACTTGTTAACCCGCGACCTATTCGAGCTTGCGGACAAAACAGGTCTTCAGCTGGGCAATAGGCGTTCACCAAAAACATCGTTCGTGTCTTCGTGTCTTCGTGAGTACGCAAAGCAGGTACAGTCCTACTTTCGATAGGATGAGGTCGATATAAGCTTCATGGCGTTCTCCCGAGAAGTCTATCAGTAATGTGCTTTGGCATGCAGCTGAGACAAGGAGTCAGTCAAGGATGTTCCTGAGACAAAGGGGGACGAGAATAGCGACAGCCTTAAACTTACTACGCCGGGTCCACCTCCAACAGCCCAGGATGCCCGAGCAGACTGAGACCGGCCGTGCCAAAACAGGTGTGAAATACGTCGACCATGTCGCCAGGTCTGTCTGCAAAACCACCCTGATCTGGGTCCTGGCATTGCAAAATGAAGTGTGTAAGCTTGGATTTATCGATCCAGTGCAGACGGTCGATCATGGCCAGACTCGTGAGCACCCACCAACTGTAGCAGACGTCTACGAGTTTCTCTGGCCTACCGTTGAGGCCGCCGCTGGGCAGTTGGCGTTCTGAAAGCCATGCGCCTAGGCGATCTTTACCTTCTTCGCCAAGGTAAGAATCGACCTCGCCGGCAATCTTGAGAGCGCCTATGCACGTGAAAACCTGCCCGGAATGTGATTCTGCGCCAGGAGCAACGCCAAAGCCACCATCAAAGTTTTGGCATGCTTTGACATATTGTATGGCGGCCTCAAGGTTGATCAGAGGTGGCTCTTCAGGTCGCTGATGAGGCAGCATTTGGAGCAACGAAAGTGCGTTGAGCGCCGCATACAGGAACCGAGAGTCAGTCTCACCCCATTTGTCTCCAGCGAATGTACCATTCGGCTGTTGCAGTCCTGCCATGTACTGTGCGACCTTCATCTTGCCGTTGGGCACCCGCTGCTCCAGCTCGTCAAAGCCATCGATCATGGCGAGTATTTGCACAGCAGACACCGTATAGAGCATGTGCGGGTCGTGTCCTGGTGCTGCGCCGAACCCTCCATTTTCGTGCAAGCAGCTGAATAGGTACGCCAACAAGCCGTCTCGAGGCAGAGCGTCCGGGTGTCCAAGCAGATGAAGTGACACAAGGCCCCAGTAGATGCCGCTGATGCGCAAATGTTCGGTGAGGTGGTATTCGAGCTCGTCTCTGCGCTACTGTTTCGTCAGTGTCAGCCGGCGCAAGACAAGCATCTCGGGCAGAGCCTACCGTATCCAGGCTCTGCACATATGCTACATGCTTGTCGACGACGAGCTGGAGCTCGCCAGGCAGCTGCGCTGCTCCGACGCCGCCGCCTCGACCTGGTCCCGCTGCGAGCGACATATGTGCCGGGGAGCCGTAAATCAGAGGTGTCGAAAGAGCAGAGAGAAGAGAGCACGCGTGGTGAGATGAAATTAAGCGGGTCCGTCCCTCATCAGACGAGCGCCGAACATAGCATCATCACGAGCGGAAGAACAGGCACCCGAGACTACAACCAAGTTAAGCGTGGAGAGCACCTCGTCCCACGGGTTAGTTGGTCGTCACCCCAGCAGCTTGTCGCGGAGGACGACCACACACTCGGAACGCCGTTCGCGCGCGCGCTGGTTGCTCGAGCGTGTCTCGCGCGTGAGCGCCACTAGGCCAGCGGACGACGCTGCGTGCGCAACGTGCGGTCAGCACGAGCAGCAGCAGGAGGGGGGTGTCGTTCATTGCGGTATTATTTATGGGCGCCCAAGCTTTTCTCGGTAATGTCAGTGCTAGGCGCCGTCAGGCACAGTGCGTGTGAAGTGGAGATGCAGGCCGGCTGGCAGACAGGGGTGGCGTACGCACACGCTCCCTCGTCCCGCCGCGAAGCCAATCTGCGAGCAGCGCAGCACCAACGCCGTGCTCTGCTCTGCTCTGCCCTGCCAGCGAGAGCGAGTCTGTGGGCAGCAACAGCAGCGCCGCTCCGCACCACCACCCAGCGGACCCGTCCGAGCAGTCGCTGTGCTGTGCTTCTGCCCGCTGCCTGAGCGTGAGCGTGCAAGCGCGAGCGCTACTCGACTCAGAACGACGCTACCGACATCACGACGTCTCCCCCCAACGACCCAGACCGCACCACCCCGTCACCGTCCCCCTCTGCTGCTCTGCGCACGCCCGCCCGTCCGCTCGCGAGACGCCGCCGCCGCCGCTGAGCCCACGTCACTCGTCCGGGCCCGACGCCAGCGCTGTGCCGTGCGCGGTTGTCTGCACAACGGCGCCCCGTTTCCTGTCCCCGCCCTCCACGAGATAGCATTGGCTGTGCCCCGTTGCGACCACCGACGGCGCTCCCATTCGACACGACGCTGCCGGCGACACCGCGAGCTCTTGTTCACCGTCTGCGCGCACGCCGTGTTGCACCACATCCCTCGCACGACAGCTCCGGCCCAGCACCAGCACTGCGACGCGGCGCATACCCGCAGGACAGCGGCCTTTGTTCTGCGACAGCCGTCAGTCATTGTCTCGCGCGTAGCTGCAATCTCCCGCCTATTGGGGCTTTTTGTGGTCTCGCAATAGCAACGGCGGAAGTGCCACCGCATGTAGCCTGCTTCATCTCCTGCACCTCTGGTACAGCCGTTTCTGCACACCTGCCCGTCCGGGCCCGCAGCCTATTGCCGTCATCGGCAAGCAAGCCAGGCTGAGACGCGAATAAATGATAGACATGCCGCGGCACCCCAAGCCACAAGAGCTCAAGCTCAGCGAGAAAGGAGTACGAGAGAACGGTGTGCAGCCTGGGCCGAACAGCAGTCCTATGAACCTTCAGGGCGTGGATTTGGGTTCCTTTGGAGGCGGTTTCGAGCACGACGTAGCCGCAGGACTGACACCTCTACCCAAGGAACAGGGCAAATATCCACAATCGCCGCCAGGATCTCCACGGGCGCACAACAGGGATTCGTCAAAGAATCTCTTGAGCAGCTTCCGGAACAAGCTGTCCAACGAACAGGAGGAGAGAAAGAACTCGCGGCAGGGAAGAAACGAGAAAGAGGAGTACCGACCAGGAACGAGTTCAGTCTCCAAGATATACCATTTGAGGAACAACCCAGGGAGCACACCGGAATTGAGTCTGGTAGGAAGTCAGGAGGCAATCTCAAAGCAATCATCGGAAAGTGAGTTCTCGCCCTTTGCGCACGTGCAAGTGAAGTCATTGTGAGCTCGTGCGAGTCACGATTCGCTGATGCCTAGCCGACACTGGTGGCTCAATGGCATCTGAATGCCACGAGCCATGTGAATTGCATATGAATGGAACAATCAATGCCAGATTGAATGCGCAATACTGAAAAGAGGAACACGCGCTGACCACAGAAGTGACAGGTGAAAAGCCAGCCCTACCGGCCAGACCGCAACCTACGCCAAAGCATAGCCAGGATAGCACCGCTTCGCGACAGAGGTCGGAGAGTAAGAAAGAGAACAAAGGCCTTCTTGGACGCATGGGCAGAAGAGCATCGGTTCGAAGGGGTTCTAACGCGACAGGATCGAGACCTGCGACATTGAACGGCGACGGGAACCAGTCCGGAGACGGGAACAAGCATGATAAAGATTCGTTCGATCATCAGTCACAACACATGGCTCCTTCAGACAACGACTGGCCAGGATCGGACGCGAGACTGAAGGGCAAACACAAGGAGGACAAACGAGGAAAATCCGAAGAGCGCTCAATGGCGATCGCTAGTCAGGAGAATCTCTCGTCCTCGTTTCCAAAGGCGAAAGACAAGAAGGAGGGTGGCGGTTTCATGAGCGGGCTCAAGAAAGCGACAGGAGGCTTTCTGGGCCGCACCAAGAGCGACTTTAAGTCCCACATACCCGACAGTGAATATGTCATCAAGGTGATCAACCTTCCACTTATCGAACAGACACGGGCCACTCGCATTAGCAAAGATCTGGCTTCCTGTCGCGACAAGACGGAGTATTGGATGCCGGCGTTGCCTTGGAGGTGCATTGAGTGAGTAATGGGTCTGCCGAGCTATCTGTCATTATTGCTAACATGTACAGCTACCTCAACACGAATTGCGAGAACGAGGGTCTGTATCGTGTCCCTGGCAGTGGACCGCAGGTCAAGCACTGGCAACGACGATTCGATCAGGAACTGGATATCGACCTGCTCGACGCAGATATCAAAGACACGAACGAGATTGCGAGCATGCTCAAGGCCTGGTTCCGCGAGCTGCCTACTGAAGTCATGCCAGCCTCGCTGCAAAAGTCCTTGGGTGCGGAACTGGAGAAACAGAATCCAAACTACAGGAACCAAGGCCAAGAGGCACCCCAACTGCTACGCGATGCCCTCTCGGAGCTCCCACCATTCAACTATTATCTCTTGTTCGCCATAACCTGCCACCTGTCTTTGCTGCTTACCAACAAGGACCGCAACAAGATGGATCTCAACAACTTGGCGGTCTGCGTCGGGCCGTGCTTGAACCTGGAGCGATGGCTCTTCAACTATTTGGTCGGTGATTGGCGGCATTGCTGGCAAGGTTGCTTCACCGAGAAAGAGTATCTCAACATCGAGCGACTCGTCGAAGACGGCCACGATCCAGATAAGATTACTTTCAAGAAGAAGCCTATGGGTGACGAGCATTCGCTGTCCAACAGCTTATGGGCGTCGACGATTGGCGACGACGCGCCATCGGAAAACATGTCTACCGATGACCGCGCTATTAGCAGTGGCAGCAGCAACCAACAAGGCAGCAACTACGACCGCCGAGGCTCGCACGTGGACCTGCACAATCGTGGGAACAATAATGCAAATCCAATGACCTATGTACCCGCGGGAGCCAATGCCTATGGAGGCAACCATGGCTTGGGCATTGAGCAGGAGATCCAACGACCCTCCACAGCTCAAGGAGGGCCACCTCCAATGAACACGACCGGCATGCAGCAGCAGCCCCAACAACATCAGAAGACCAGGTCCAACAGCTCTACACCCCGTGTGGGCCATCAGCGGAGCCGTAGCGACCTGCCTCCTGCAACGCCGGTAAAGACGAACGCTGATTACGGTTTCCCAGTTCGCTCATCATCACGACCGCCTTCAAGATCATCCATGCGTCGAGGATGAATGACTTAGCCCTTGGCCAGACAAGATTGGCTTGACACGAGGTCAGCGAAAGGACACCGATTCAGCAAACACTAGCTCGGGTTGCTCCCACCATCGTCGCTTCGGAATGTGCTACTGCTATGCCACGACGCGTTCTGACATCTGCGAACTACGAACCCACTCCTCCGTCCCATCAGCTGTTTACGGATACCCCACTTGTTGCGCTTTGCCGCGAAGGAGCGACGGAGTTCACATTATCTCACTCGGACAACTTGCGTCAGCAAGCTGTCTCTTTTCGATACCATACTGGAGCATAGGCGCTGGGCGCGATTAATGGCTACATGACCGATCTTGATTAGTCTTCTGAGCGAGCTGTGAGTCCAGGCTCAAAAGCTTCTTACTCCAAAGGTCTCTTCGCTTGAAAAGTCCCGATTTTTCGAGGCGGAGCCTGCTGCTTGCATGTTTTAACTACGGGACGTGGGGCAATGAGGCCAGTGTACGATTATAGCTAGCTAGCGAGACGCTATGAAATGTTGTGATGCGCAGCTCCTCTCCGAGCATTCCTTTCTCTACCGATTCGTCATAATCTGTTCGAAACGAGCTGAAAGCAACTACCGATTCTCACAGGATCCTGCCACTGCCAGACCTGGTCAGTACGAGAGCACATGCGCCACATTCACTCGTTTGATCAGCTGCAGGCACCGTTTGCCCATTCCACAGGACCGTTAGGAGAGCAGCAAATGTGAGGGCAAAGTCACAGCTGCCTGGCAAGAATCGGCCAATGAGGATCAAGTATGTTGCTCGATCACATTCATATGAGCTCAGCTCTGCAGGAGCTGCACTGTGAAGTTCACCTGGGATCGATGCGGCCCCTCTTCTTTGCCAGAATGACTTTCTCTTCGACAATAGAACATTGCCTACCCACCAACAATCACTCATCAATCAATAACGACAATCAAGCCCTGTTGCAACAATTGGGTCACGAGGATTATCGTCTCCATGGAACGTCCTATCAGAGACAATATCACGCGGCATGATTCCCTTACCGACGTCCATGAGGAAGATTTGTTCGAAGATGCGAGGTCTAGTTGCAGTGAGGTGGTAGACCAGTTGGAGGCAGTCGAAGACAAGGTGAATTTGTTTGTTTCCGAGCGAACATTTCTTCTCCGGCTGACATTTCTGATCAGACCCTTTCGGCATCTACTCGTGTATTCCAGACTGCAGAGCTACTGGAGCGCATATTGCTGCATGTCGTGACCAAGAGTGACCGTACCAGTGCACGGACACTCTTGCGAGCTAGCGCAGTGAACAAGGCCTGGCGTGAGGCCATTGCCAAGTCTCTAGAGCTCCAGAGACGAATGTGGTTATGCCCTCGCCCGCAGTCGTTCTCAGGCCATGACGACTATGACTACAGCATCAAAACAGTTGTCTACTTCAATCCTATTCTCTGGGCGACGCAGCCCAAACACTGCACAATCGACGTCACGAATGCTCAGCTCAGCACGGGAAGCCGAGGGCCGGGAAGTTGGCGCCAAATGCTGGTCGCTACAGCAAGCCGAGCCAAGTTTCATGTATTAGTTGAAGTGGGAGACCTTCCGGTTGCGGTCGTAGAGTGCAACGCCGACATCACAATGGGAATGCTGCTGGACAGGGCGAGGAAGAATGCGGCCACGAGTTCAGATCTGGAAAGGCCCGTGAAGAAGTACGTCTGCAAGGAGTACATCTGCATCCAAGGTAATTTGCCAGAGTGGGAGACGTGCGAGAAGTGTCTAGGCCTCGAAGTATGAACGTTTCGCAGATCGCACTGAGGGAGAAGGGCGGGGATGATGACATCGATCTGATACTACGGCTTCGACATTAGCGGGTCACAATGGCCACGATGGAGGCGCGATGGAACTGCGATTAGAGTCATCGCCCAAACCAGCGAGAGCCATCTCTTTGGCAAGACCTTCGAATTCGAGGTCTCAACTCTCCAAGCATGGAGGGACAAAGGTACCGGATGCCATCGAACACGAGACCATGGTTGGAAAGAGCTCGAGCACGTTCGGCTGTACTGTGCGCCCCGATAGCCGCTTGCATACGTATACCGCGTTGCCAAAGGGAAGGGTTCTGAGAAATTGAAGACGTCGATGTCATATTGCTGCGCAGATTGGGCCAAAATCTCCTTGTTAAACCTCACGCCAACAACGAATGATCGCAGCAGTCAGCATCTCACAAATCAACGACGCAGCCTTCAATATTACCAAAATTCCATTGCATGCACTACAAATTATACATGTATATCTACGCCTTCACCGGAAACTTCTTCCCCAACCACTCCTTAATAATCTCCGCAATCTCCTCAGGCTTCTCATACAAAACCCAATGTCCAGCATCCACAACCTTCTCCTCCAAATCCCCCACCAACCCCTTCTCCTTCGCATCCCCCATCAAATCCACCCTACACACCCAATCCCCCGTCTGCCCAATATACAACAACGGAACCTCAATCTTCGTCCCATCCTTCTTCTCCACCAACTCCCTCTCATCCTCAATCATCGTATTATTCTTCAAAGAATGGTAATACTGCACCGGCCCCTCAAATCCATCCCGACACAAACGCTCCTTGAATCGTTGAAACAGTACAGGATCTTTCGCATAAGGTTTCAATTCTACTCTCTTCCCTCCAGCCCATTTCCCTTTTCCATCCACATAATCATCCATAGCATGCGGAACGCAAAACATTTCTCGCATCCAAATATCTCGTCCTTCTTCACCTAGCTTGTCAGAAATATAAAGTCCATTATTCACATCCCAAAACCGCTCAACATTATCCCTCATCAAATTCGCCGCATCAGCTCTGGTGAAAAAATTCCAATATTCCCATTGAGGATAACCAAACCTTTTTTCTGTTTCCACATTCGCAGTTTTGAGATCAAATTTCTCCGAACTAGGAATCTGATACGCTAAACTCAAAAGACTTAAACCTACACAACGATCTTTATGATAGAGATAAAACCGTTGAGAGGTTGCGGAACCCCAATCGTGGCCGATAGGGATGACGTTGTTGGGGACTTTTTCGTGGTCCAGGATTTGCGTGATGCTGTTGGCTTGGGCGCGGTAGTTGTAGTATTGGGCGTCAGAGGGTTTGGAGGAGCCGCCGAAACCTAGGAGATCGAGGACGATGAAGGGGTAGGGGAGGGAGAGGAAGGTCGGGATTGCGCCTGCCCACATGTAGGCGTCGTCCGGGTAGCCGTGGAGGAACATGAGAGTTGGGACATTTTTGTCTAGTTTTGAGTTGAAGTTTGGGGAGAGGTAGTAGCTGTAGGTGAGGTTGTTGGGGGTTGTGATTATGGATTTGTGTTGGAGCTTGTCCATGTTTGCGATCTGTTGTGCGGCCATGATTGAATCTTGCTTGAAATCGTTAGGGACATTGGTGTTCTTCGAGGATGCAAAAAGAATGTGATTTGGGGTTCTGATTATACATATTTGCGTTTCTCAAGCAGTGACGTCTATTGCCATACGCTACCCCTCCTCCACCAGTGGTAGTCTAGAACCCAATCTGAATAGGTTCTTCAGTAGCTCTGTGCCGAGAGATCGTCCAGGCAAGTCTGCCGTGCCACGCAGTGGCCAAAGAGGAAAGCATAGGCACTGTTGTGGCTTGATGGGAAGGAAGGGCTTCAAGCTCTCTGCTGCGAAGCACTGAGGCACAATAGTGTGAGCGTTGTCTCCCGCAGTAGGGAACTGACGCGCAGATACCGCCTGTACACGTCTGTCTATAGCTCAACTGTACGGCCATCCTCTTGCGATTTATATTACATCTCATCATCAACAGTACGTCGGTCCACTGGGACTGCAAAAGCTCGGGACTGCATAAACCCTTGGCATGCCAGGAAAAGCAGCCCAACAAATCATTCAATCTTCTTGGATTCTTCACGTCTCTTCTGGAGCGCCGGCCTTCATACTCTCGTCAGGATAGATGCTTTCACCATTAGCAGGGGTGTCAAACAATTGCTGATCGCCTTTGCCGCCCATTTCCATGAATTCTCTTGGGTCACGGGCTGCATCCGGAGCAGGTTCCACCGTGCGCTCGAAATGACCATTAATCTTCTTCGACTTCGGCTGGCTCGCAGGTCGCTGAGTGTGAAAGCGTGATTGCGAATTCTTCTCCCAGACTTTGATCGGCGGCGCATCCGGCTGAGCTTCAATAACGCGTGACACCTTGACATCGTTGATGGCCGCGAGCAAAGTGCGCTCTCGCTGTGGTTTGCGCTGTGAGAAATCGAGGTTACCGATCGCACCTGTCAAGCCATCGGTACTATCGGTGGGGTTGATGGTGCGAGCCGTAATCCAGGGGTGTTCCAGGCATTCGTCGATTGTGATACGATCTTCGACTTTTGTTGTGAGCATGCGGTCAATGAGGTCGAGTGCTGGATCGCCGACTGAGTCCCAATACGGCGAAGGATAGTCGAAGCGACCCATCTTGATCTGCTGGCTCAGCGTGTATGGGTTCTCTGGCGAATAGAGCTCATCTGAAAATGGAGGAAAGCCGCACAGGCAGATATACAGTACCACGCCTAAACTCCAGACATCGACAGCTCGGGTATAGCGACGGCGATTGGTCTGTTCAAGAATCTCGGGTGCGACGTATGACGGCGTGCCACAGAGTGTAGTAGTGAAAGACTCTTCGCCGATGATCTTCGCCAGACCAAAATCAGCAATCTTGACGTTCAGCTGTTTGTCGACAATCAGAATATTCTCGGGCTTGATGTCCCGATGCACAATGTTTCGCTCGTGCTATTCGCAGTTAGTTTGACACTGACAGCGTATGACTTCTGACAACACTTACCAGATACTTGATCCCCTGGAATAGTTGGATGAAGAGCTTACGCGTCTCCACTTCTGAGAGCTTCTGCTTCATGACTATCCAGTTGAACAGTTCTCCCTCCGGCGCCAACTCCAAGACCAGGTACACACCATCGGCCTCGTCGAACGTCTCCTTAAGACAGAGCACATTCGGATGACTGACTCCCATGAGGACCGCAATCTCCTGTTGTAGTCCTTCCACTTTACTCTTTTCACCAGGTCCACTCCGCTTTTCGAACTTCTTTACAGCATAGCGCATACCAGTGCTCTTCTCACAGCAGAGGTACACGGTCGCGAAATGTCCTTTGCCAAGCTGACCTTGAATGGTATATTGTTGGCGGAAACCGCTGCCACTCTCTTTGGTCCGAGGGTACCTGAAGATGAATCGTGCATCGCTCACGATCGAGATCTCGTCTCCGTCTTGGAGCTCGCGTCTCTTGTTGCGTCCAATGAGCTGATCATTGACATATGTGCCATTTCCGCTCAGATCCTCGAGCACCGCAGTGGTGGCGCCAGATTTGTTCTCGGCGAAGATCAAACAATGCCTGTTGCTCACTACTGCGCTTTTCACGATCTTGTCACATTCTGGATGTCGTCCGATCAGATATCCGCCAGCAGGCACACCGTTTGCGTCCTTATCAGCTTCGTACGCTTCCTCTTGCTTTTTCCATTCTCCCTTCTTGACTTTCTGCCGCCCATTGGGCTTGCCTGTGCTGTGGAGCGGCACTGGGCATGCAGCGCGTTTACGCAACGTCAGGGCAGCTGTGTGGCCCTCTGCCGGCACAAGATAGCCCCATACTCCCTCGCCCTCCTCGTCCTCAACTTCGTACGTTACTGGCGCCGGTGTCAAGAACTGAGAGTAGGGCTGGGTGTCGCCGTACGGTGAAGAGAGGCCGGCAAAACGCTGTGATGGAGGTGGACTGCTGGCTGGCGGCGTTCGCTGTTCGCGCTCCTTCTTGGACGGCGGAGGTGATGCTGTCTCGTTCGCCGTCGAGGCAGTGTCTTGGTTCGTGATGGGTGATGGGAATGGGCCTTGCTTCACGTCCTCGGGACCAGACAGCCGATTCGATCTTCGCGGCTTCTTGGGCTCATCGTGAACTTCGCCAGTGGATTGCTGGGGTTAGGTCAGCATCTGCGAATGAGCTACGCGCAACGATACTCACTCTTCCGCGCTTGAGCGAGCTGTTGTCCTGAGGCGACATTATCGCTTCCGATCAGCGCCGGATAATCGCTGGGAAGTGACGGTGAAGTTGGCGATGATGGACTGCTTTCAGTTTCCCGAGAATCTTGCCAAGCGGATCTGAACGGGAAGAGAAATTAGCGAAAGTGCATCATGCTGAGTCTACGATGCTCGTGTGTGTGCGACGTCGACCTCGACGACCAGCGCGGCGTGGATGGCGTTGGGAGCTTTGCTGATGCAGCAACCCGCGATCGGCACCAAAAGCGTGTTTCCGCCCGGATCAAGGCAGCGCGCTGCTTGGAAGCTGCATTGGCAGCAGCCTGGCCCATGATGACTACACCGACCTCCACCCTATAACACAGTACGTCCAAACGTTTCGTCCGCGCGTGCCACGGTCACCCACGATTACAAGGCTGAAGCGTCTGCAGTCTCAATATAGGCCTGTGTCCGCCTTGTGCTAAGCAGCAGCGGGTAGTGTAACAACTCTCTCCTTCTCGCAAAACGTTCTTGCTGCATTTTGCGCTGCGCCATCGACGATGCCTTTCTCCCATCACTCACATTCGGGCCAGTTCTGCGGCCATGCTGCCAATACTTTGGAGGAGGTTGTGCAGACTGCCATTCGTCTCAAAATGTCAACCTTCTGCATGACCGAGCATATTGCTCGGCAGGAGGTTGACTTTTACCCCGAAGAGTCAGAAGTCCATACCATGGCCACCCTCGAGAAGCTTTTCGACGACTACTATCACGAAGCACGGCGTTTGCAGAAAGCGTACGCTGATCAGATCCAATTGCTCGTGGGCTTCGAAGGAGAGTGGATTCGTGATTATTCCTTGGAACTTATCCAGGATCTGCTGAAGAAGTATCCTGTGGATCTGTTTGTGGGGAGTGTTCACCATGCTCACACGATCCCGATTGACTTCGATACCCCAATGTATCATCAAGCACGTGAAGCTGCAGGCGGCAGTGACGAACGCATCTACGAGGACTATTTTGACTCTCAGTACGATATGCTGAAGGCTTTGCAGCCTCCTCTCATTGGACACTTTGACCTCATCAGGCTGAAAGGTGACGAGCCAGATCGAAGCTTCCGAACATGGCCAGGTGTTTGGAGCAAGATCGAGCGAAACCTGAAGTTCATCGCCAGCTACGGCGGCGTGCTTGAGATTAATACCAGTGCGATCAGGAAGGGCATGGCCGAAGCATATCCGCAAAGTGAAATCTGCAAGGTAAGCAAGTTGCGCCACTCCTCAATGCTTCTCACTGACGTCGACCAGGAATTCAAGGATATGGGTGGCCGCTTCACATATTCGGATGATAGTCATGGCGTCGAGCAGGTTGGCTTAAACTACGCCAAAGCACTGGAAAACAACATCGTGCGAGCCGGCATAACGGAGTTATACTGTCTGGCACCCACGACTGACAAGACGAAAGTGCATGATGAGCGCTTTCCCACTGTTTGTTGGGAACCTATTCCTATCGAAACGATCAAGGCCCACGCGTTCTTCCAATGATACACGGCTTCTGTTTCGATAGATTGACATAGACCATAGATAAGATCACGTTCCTCTTCGAGATGGCTTGTGAGGAGCTCCGACAGATTCTTGTCAGCAGAAAAGCGATTCCCCACAGGTCGCCTTCACTTGTTCTCTCCACAAAACCTGTCAAGTGAATTCCATCCCGAAGTGGTAATTGCAGCTTGCTTTCTACATTGAGTGCACCCAATCTGTACAATAGGTATATGTCGACTCTAGAGATAAGGAGCTTACCAGGGGCGTTTGAAGAGTGTTTCGTAGCTGTCGAGGCTGTGTACACTTTACTAGACTCGGGAACATGTTGGCGGTGGAAGAAGATGTGGAGATGTGTGGATGAATGATGGAGTTGGGTATCGGAGCTGTACCTGGTACCTTGCACTGTTGCACCCAGCTGCCACCAATCACCACTGACACGCATCGCCTAAACCGCGCTGCAGCATCAGCTTGAGAAGCTCATTGCTCACCAGCTCAGCAGCCAACAAACAATGGCGTCACAGCGGCGGCTGACGATTGCGCAAACCAACCCGCCAGACGCGGCCAGTCGGTTGACAAACCCTGGAAACTTCCAAGGGTCAAAGCTCCCAATGCGCGCGGCAGCGGCAACCCACGATTCCAGGGTCCTGCCTTGTGCCCAACGTCAGTTTTTAAAACTGTGTCCATTCACTAGCTCCGAGAGCTCTTGCCTTGCAGATGTTTTCATCTACTCTTCGCCGCAGCTTCACCACTAAAACAACAACCAAACCACAAATCTTCAAATCCTCTTTCTCCCACACAGCTTTCAGAATGGGTGTCACCAAGGAGATCATCAGCCCAGGCGATGGCGTCACCAAGGCAAAGGCTGGCGACAACATCAGCATGGAGTACACTGGCAAGCTCACAGATGGCACGCAGTATGTGCTCAATCTATCATACTACCAACCTTGAACTTTTGCTGACATGAAGACGCACAGATTCGACTCCTCCGTCGGCCGCGGCGACTTCGATGTCAGAATCGGCACTGGCCAGGTCATCAAGGGCTGGGACGAGGGCATCCTCGAGACTGATGGAGGCATGACTCTCGGCGAGAAGGCTAAGCTCACCATCACTGGTGACTATGCCTATGGCTCTCGCGGTTTCCCGGGTCTTATCCCACCAAATGCTACTTTGGTCTTGTATGTTCACCTACCTAAACTTCAGAAACTTGAAGTGGACTGAAACTGACTTTTGCGACAGTGACGTGCAGCTCAAGGCTATCAACGGCAAGAAGGCCTAGATGATGTTGAAGCATTCTGCATCTGCAGTTGGGTTCCGGCCAAATGAGTCCGAACTCACGACCTGATGATGTGCATCTCGGTGCTGGATGACCAATCTGGTCCACATCAAGCACACGATGAAATGCTTCAGGTTGCATGATAGATCATGGAAAACAACAAATGAAAATACAAATCAAAGGCTACCACGATCACACGCGAACATTCTCACTTTTCACAAATGCGCTGTGATCTAATTGCTAATGCTTGGAGGACAGACGTGGGCACTTCGTCCGCCTGTGTTTTGTGACACAGTCAAACACTACTGGCAGACGTCTTCACCTCTACTGAACCATCTCTGGCAAAGGTCCCCTTTTGATTTTGAGACCAACGACTCGTCTCTCTGCGCTCATACCCAACGCAGCAACCTTTCATGCCCCTTCACGGCACCATGTCTCGGCTTCGAAATTTGAGCATCTCCCCCTCAAAGCTCCCACGGCCTCTTCCCCCTGCCCGCCACTTCTTCCCGCGACACCTCGCCACCACCAGCCTTCAGCGCACCTTCAGCCCCACGATATCCCATATTCACACCCTGAGCCTCCATCGCAGGTAACTTACGAGTAGGCGTGGTCTTAGGCTCTACTAGCTTCGGCAATCTCTCAGCAGCATAGTCCCCGGAACCATCATGCACACCCTCCTTCCTGACCCATTTCTGCGAATGTCTGTTTCTCCAGTGATTGAAGTCGAGGTCGCGTTGGAGATTGCCCGCCGCGTGAGCATCTGCAAGAGCCTGCTGATACTTTTGATATTCGGTCGAGTAGTATGTGTTGCTGTTGTAGAGTCCTCGAGCCAAATGCAGTGCTCCGAAATTGGTGGGTAGGCTCGCGTAGCGCGTGCTGGCTGTACACGTTGGTGGAGGGAGGATGACGTTTCGGCTGACTGGAGGATACCGTGCGTGTGAAGGAGGTTGCAGGTGTGCATTTCTGGTTGCGAGGTTCATGAGAACGAGGGATTCAGGATTTTGAGGATATCCAAAGGGCCCGATTGGCGCTGGCTCTGGGTATGGCGGAGGAAAGAGATTGTTCTGACCTGCTGTGGTCGCTGGAGCTTCGTTCAGGTGTGAAAAGTCTCGCCAGCGTCCGATTGCCTCGATGTCGCGGTCCGAGACAGGCATCTGCGCAAGCTGCTGCTGACGTTGAATTCCATTGTGTATTTCGATTGGTGGATAGCTCGATGGATAGCTTGATGAACCTGGGTGGGAGTGGGCAGCAGATGGATATACATAGTCGGCAGGCCGGGTGTAGTACGGAGCACTGGGAGCTGCGGCGTGCATGCCAGGTTGAAGCCCAGGTCTCGTGGAGAGTACGAAGTTCGGAGATGCTAGGGGTACCGTGCCTATCGGATATGGCATTGGAGGCATATTGAAATTCGAGCCATTCGGTGTGGCGTGGTTTAGCAAATCAAACGTTCTGGCCCGTTGCTCTGCAGAGCGTCGCTTGTGTTGTGAGAGTGCGTCTTGCTGAGGAGTAACTCGACGAGGATGTAGAGGGCGCAACACAGGTCTTGTCCCAAGGTACTCGAGCTCATCAGAGTCCTTGTTGCGGTTTTTCGACGAGGTTCGGCTGCCCTTGATACCAGGCCCAGAACGCTTACGCTTCGGTGCTTTCCCCTGATTGAGAATCAACAGGCTCTCGGCGGCCGCCCTCTTCTCGGCCTCATGCTCTTTCTTGCTGTTCTTGGTGGTCTCTGATGGAGTATCTGAAGCCAGGGGCAGGCTTGGGGACTCTGTTGTTGTTCTTTGCTCTACCGATGGGCCCACAGACATGCGTTGCTTGTTCTCCTCGCCATTTTGGGCTGCTTCGTCAATCTTGGTTGCCATGCCGGCATCTTGGCCCAGACTTGCTTCGCCTTGATGCTCGATTTGACTGGCTGCGCCCGCTTCCACCTCCATAGAAGACTCGATACGTTCGTGCTTACCTCGAGTGTCTTTCGGCTCCGGCTTAGGCTTCATGTCCATATCGGTGCTAACATTTGACGTGGTCGCCGGCTGGCTACTGGGCGTGAGCGGGTTTGCCAAAGACTGACCTTGGCTTGCAGCCTGTTCGTTCGCCGGAGTGGTGGTGCGACAACCACTGAGAGGGTTCTGCATCTTGAAACCAATCGGCTGATCTTGTTGGAGTGTAAAACTTCGAGGCCCGTCCTCGATGTCTGAGAAGTGCGCAGGAGTGGGTGAATGATCGTCAAAAGCTTGACTGAATTTTCACATTCAATGCAGCTGTTTGTTGGAGGCGCTGAAATGGCTTCACTTTCCCGAAAAATGCAGCTTAGCGTCATGAGCTGCAGGAAAATGTTTGCTCTCAACGTCGACTGCATTCACCTGTATAGGCTTCAGCTGCTGTGGTCCCATTGTGACAGAGTGCCATCTTGCACTATTCACTGCCTTTTCCCATCCGTCACCTGAAGGTGAGCATCCAGGCTTGTGGTTTGCCATCGTTCAAGCACCCAAAAGCCATCTTGCGCATCTGAGTGTGACTCAACGCTCGTGAGTACTGTTGTTCATGTGGTAGAAGCGGTTTGAGTGTTGTGGCCGAATTGGCCGCTTCGTGCTGGACATAGGCAGCAACAGAAAGCGCTGCCGATTCTTTTCAGCGTAATTTGATGTATAAGGTCAAGAGCTGATGTATATAGTGAATGATGGGTTCCTTAGACGCCATAATGTTGGCGGCGAAACCCTAGCTGTGAGGATAATCGTGGCGTGGTACGGCGCTCTGGTTTCCATTGCGGCCCGGTAGCGTTTTGTGTGCAGTATGCGTCAGCCATTTTTATTCCTAGGCATTCGCCTCGCAGAGAGCGTTTGTTCGGTAACGACAATGCTTCTGATAGCTTCGAGTGCAACGTGAAGTGAGGCGCGGCACGTGTGCACGTGACGGAACTTCAACCTTGAACTTTTGTTGCCTCTTCTCTTCTGTTGTCACCCCGCATCAAAACCGTTTCCAATGATGTACTCATGGAGTACAATCATTTCCAATCAGCGATTCTGGATCTATCAGCGCGATGGTCAAAGTTGCAGGAAGGAGGAAATCTGCACAGTCATGCATGGCAAGACGTCCGTCTGGTCAAAAGCCAGGTCCAGGAGGGTCATTTCCTCCGAATCACGAGTTTGATTGCCAGTGGAAACAGGAAAACAGAAGATGCGGCCAGCGAAGACGTTGAGCAAACTGCAGCAGACTGTATACCGCCTGGCTCCGCCGAAGATGAAGACGAAGAAGCCCTTCCCAGGCCGCCTGCCGACCAGACCTCGCAATCTTCAACTAGACTTACTTACGACATTATCTACTCGCCTTCGTATCAGGTTCCGGTACTTTATCTGAGTCCTGAGCCGCTGAGGTCTTCGGAATGGCTTCTGGAATGCTTGTACGAGCCGACCGCCGGAGTTGTGGGCTTGAGAGGAACAGTGTCTCTTACGGATCATCCTGAGACGGATAGACCTGTGTTCTTCGTGCATCCTTGCCGGACACAGGAGGCTATGATGGACGTTCTGGGTGCTCGGGAGGATGTCGACGCAGTGGGATGGCTATTGATCTGGTTCGGTATCATCGGGAGTGCAGTCGGACTGTCTGTACCCACTGAGCTGGCTATCGCGATCCAAAGCTGAAATTTCAAAATCATGCGAAGCATGCAATCCGCTGGAGTCTAGCCAAGGTTCACATGCGATCGCCGGAAAGGCAGTGTCTCTGTAAGCAGAGCGTCCTTGCCATCACTTTACAATCTTCGAAAAGGCTGTCAAGATGCGGAGCCCATTGAGGCCACATGGCCCAGGGGATTCGAAATCCTTTTGAATTTGCGAGAAGCTTGCAACTTGTCAGAATGTTTCTTGTATAGAGTGGTTTGGGTATACCTACGATCCATCGACTCTGCTGAAAGACGGCCAGTCCTACACGACGCAGACCTTGCGCCCGCCTAAGCGACGCAATTGGTGCGGCTTCCATCAACCGTATGGTGTTGGTTCTCATGCTGGTAGTCCCGTTCGCGTCCTTCAAAGGCGATACGATTGTCTTCAGTGGTGGTGTTCCGAAGCCTTCTCCTCCCCTCAATCGCTATCACTCATCTCCATCTCGCCTCCGTCGCTGTCCTCCTCCATTGGCGCGTCTCCGCCCTCGTCGTCGCTCTCGTCTCGCTGCCTCTTTTGCCCAGCAGATACAGCTGGACTTGGCGCATTCTCTGCTCTGCCCTTTGTCGGCTCCAGTCCTGGTGGCTTTGGTAACCCGCCGTTCGGCTTTTGGGGGAGTCCAGGTGGCGGAGGAAGACCAGCAGGAGGTGCGCCGGGTGGAGCTGGCAGTGAAGATGCGCCTGTCGTGGGCCCGGCTTTCGCCGCGTTCGCAGCCTGCTGCTCTTCGTGGAAAGTGCCTGTGAGTTTGGCTAGAGTATGAGATCGGTTCTTCGAGTATGTGATTTTCTAGCGCATCAATTTAGCGATTGTCCACAGCTACCAAACATTCTCTGCTCACCATCTCTTTCCCAAAAAAGTCGTAGCCCTGGCAATGTCGCATTGCCTGTGTTGCGGTATTGGCGTCTCGGAACAGCACATGCGCCTGTCCACGCATCTTCGAGCCCTTCATTGCTGTAACATCGAGGACGGGGCCGTATGTGGTGAAGAGCATATACAAATTCCGCTTCAAATCGTGCTTTTGCAGCTTTTCGGGCAGATTCTGAATGTAGAGAGATTGGCTCGGTGCACTTCGCGTTGCAACATCGGTTGCGCCGGAGGCGGCGACAGTGGAGGCCATGTTGAGAAGCGATGCGGCGAGGACTGGCAAGTATCGCGGAGAAGGCGATCGAGTTGTTGCGCTTTGATGTCGGCCTCGAAAAGATGAAGCTTGTCGGCAGCCCCGTCGGCTCCGCACCGACCCCAGTCTCCAGCGTCGTCACTTCGTCCCAGGCAGCTTCAATCGACATCCGCCCTCCACTCCCATTGACCACACCGTCGACAGTAGAGACTCCACCCCTCCTGTCGTCGTCACAATGGCCTCCCCTCAAGTTCATCACCTTTTCCACGCACCGATCAGCGACCACTCCTTCTCGGCCGACCGCGGCACTCTCGCCGTAACCCGCGATTCCAATGTCGAGCTCTACGGTGCTTCGGGCAACAAATTCGCTCTTCAGGATGAACTTCGTGGGCACGACAAGACCGTCACTGGTGTCGATATTGCTCCACACTCCGGCAAGATCGTCACTTGCTCGCAAGACAGGAACGCATACGTCTGGGAACCTTCCCCGCAAGGCGGCTGGAAGCCGACTTTGGTGCTGCTCAGAATCAACCGAGCAGCGACTTGCGTGAGGTGGAGTCCCAATGAGACCAAGTTTGCTGTGGGAAGCGGCGCTAGAATCATTGCGGTCTGCTACTTTGAGGAGGAGAACGATTGGTGGGTCAGCAAGCATCTCAAGAAGCCATTGCGCTCGACTGTGACCTCTGTGGCATGGCATCCAAACTCTGTTCTTCTGGCTGCCGGATCTACAGATGGACATGCACGTGTTTTGTCGTCCTTCATCAAGGGCACAGACGAAAGGCCAGAGCCTAGTGTTTGGGGTGAAAGGCTGCCTTTCAACACAGTTTGCGGAGAGTACCTGAACTCCACCGCTGGTTGGGTCCACGGCGTGTCATTCTCGCCTTCAGGTAACGCACTGGCTTTCACCGCACATGACAGCAGTGTCACCGTTGTCTACCCGAGCGGACCAGAGCAACCGCCACAAGCTGTCATCTCGATCAGCACCCAGCTGCTCCCCTTCGCCGATCTGCTGTGGATCAATGAGGGCGAGATTGTATGTGCTGGATACGATTGCGAGGTTTACAAGTTCGCAGGATCCGCTTCTGGCTGGCAGCTCACAGGCTCTTTGGAGAAGAGTGGAGCCGGACCGGGTCAGGGGGTGGTGAGGGAGGAAAGTGCTTTGAACATGTTTAGGTCCATGGATCTCAAGGGTCGCGGTAGCAGTGTTGATGACACCAAGTTGCGAACTGTGCATCAAAACACGATCAACAAAGTTCGTGCTTACAATGGTGGGGGAAGTGGGCAGGTCAGCCAGATCAGCACTGCTGGTGTTGACGGCCGCGTGGTGGTTTGGAATCTGTAATGCGACAACGCCTCATGAAACTCATGCAACATCGACTTAGATGAATAGACGAATGCAAAGAAGCGTTCTCCAATACCCGCCGTCCGGCGTCCTCGATAGCCCCTCACTATTACCAGTTGGTGGTTCGCATTACTGTTGGCCAAAGGTGTGTGCCTCACAAGGCAGAAGAAGTTGGCTGCATTCTGCATTCGAACCCCGGACCCTCCGCCGGCAGCGCGCACGTCTCAAGTTGATGTGCGAGGCGCCTCGAGGACGCTCTCAAAGCTCCACCGATGCGTTATTCCACCCATTACTGGGTGTGATGGTAGCATCGTCTTGGTCGATGCACACCGAGACGAAGAAGTTGAGGGGCTACTACGCGGTGGACCACGGCATGCAGAATGGTCAAACCTCGAAGACGCTGCAAAAGTGAACAGCACTACTGCCCAAGCCTTGGCGACAAACAGTCTGCGGCGACAGCAACACTAGCGAAAAGAAAAAGCCAAAAAAAAAAAGAATGAATGTGTAGGTTTCCAAAGAATATTTCGAACCAGATCACGCGGCCTCGATTAAATCCGACTGAACCTCCGATGTCTGAACCTCGTCAGAGGAACTCTTTAGATTGTTGATGCAATCAGGTTGGAACTTGAATCGACCTCAGACATGTTCGGTATCAACGGTGGTGTGTTGAGTGTAAGACGCTCTCTCAACTGCAAGACGCTCTATTGAGCGAAAGACATTCAAGGCGAATGCTCTCAACCACTAAGCCATCACTGGTACGTGAAGTGAACAATTTGAAGACGAATTATATACGTCAATTTGCAAAGGCCGAGATTCGGAGCGAGGTGCCGTGGCGGGGATGGGCGCGCGCCGTTGAGGTTTGCTGCGGAGGTGAAGGCGGGCGGGAGATTGACCGGTGGGATGAGGGGCGGGCGGCACTGGTGAAGCGGAGTGCGGAATGACCATGCGCTGCCCCGAACAAGAGCATGGGGAATGGCGTATTGTTCAGAGTCGAGCATACACGTTCAGGGGAAGGACCTGCTCAACCACGATGTCACAAGGGTGTATTCGCGAGCATGACTGTGTTCACATGCTCTCTTCACTTGGGAAGTTGAACTCACCGAGTTCACATCTCGTTGGGCAAGCGATGGAAGGGAAGGCAATCTCGAATGTGAAGAGCCATGAGTGAGCTGGGGACCAGCGACTGAGGCTGACACAAGGAGGAGAAAAGTCCTGCGGCTATTGCAAGATCATCTTGGAGTTTTACCAAGTCTCTGGAACATCGAACACCCGGGGCACCATCACAAACCACAAATCTGCCTTGACTCTAGGCCAGAGCTTGGAGGATTTCACTTCATCCGCAAGCAGAAAGGTGATGTGACCTAGCCACAGCAGGCAAGAGCAGACGGCGACAAATGCATGTACAGGAGAATGCACAGCTGATGTTCGAATTGGTTGAGCAGGCTAGCCATCCCGACTACTGATACAAGGAATTCCGGCTTTTGCGCCTCCGCTCTGGTTCACGACTGCTTCTCGTTCTCCCGAATCCTAGCCTCGACTTCTCGCAGCGCCTCATATTCCGGCAAGTTCCACTTCTCCTCCGTCTTGACCATGAAAAATTGCAAGATAGTGCCAATCTTCAGCCACATGAATACCTCAGCAATGAGGTGGAAGATCTCGATACCCAACGGACTCGTCGGCAGCAACCAGGATACTATGGATCCTTCAGCACCCTTTTGTATTATATCCATGAACGGTCGAAACGTCAGGTCGTATGCCTTCAAGGCATTTGGAATCTTCTCGCGCACGTGCTCTTGGTCCGAGTCGTTCTCAGACGGAATCGATCGACAGTACTTGCTTATCTCGCCGGCGAGTACATATGCGCCAACCATGGCACATGTCGTTCCCATACCGGATCCTCCAGGAGCGTAGCCTGCATCTCCCAAAAGACCCACATGTCCTTGGGACCACGGATCCATCTTTACCATACCGAGTCGCTCGCAGTAAAAGTCGTCAGATTGCTGCATTGCCTTGAGCAGTTCTGGAGCTTTCCAGCCGGCATCAGCAAAGATTTCAGCAAAGGCAGCCTTCTCAGCATCGACATCTGCTCGTTTCACTCTCTGTAATCGTTCGTCGTCTCTGTTGAGGAGCAGGTAAAGTTGCTTGGTTGTCGGGCTGTGCCTTCGCACCAGTATGGAGCGCTTATCGGGAGCGATATAAAAGTCCGCATCGTACGTCCCGCCTGTTTCGATAGGGTCGTGGATCGTCAAATAAGCCGCTGCCTCATGAATTGAGTGCCAGACCGCAGCAGCACCTTCTTTCCCCAACATCATCTTCCGAGTCGAAGACCAAACACCGTCAGCACCAATCATCAAATCGAAATTCTCGGTCTTGCCATCCTTGAACACCACATCCACACCAACTCCCGTCTCTTCATAACTCAGAACAGAAGTCCCAAACACATACTTCGCCCCACTAGTCGCATCATGTATAAGCCGACAAAGATCCCCTCGCATAATCTCAAATTCAGACGTGAAAGTCTGAGATCCTTTTCCAGTCTTGTTGGCAGCCATATAAACTCTCTTGCAACCTTTGGCGTCGATGAATTGCATGCCTTCTTCGGGAGCGGCGTGTTCTCGGAAAGCTTCTTCGAGTCCCATACGACGTAGGACTTCGATGCCTTGATCTCGTACGTCGATTTGCAAGCCTGTTGTTCGTAGACTTGGGAAGTGTTCTACGACTGTGACATTGTGACCGAGTTTGGTTAACCAGAATGCGAGAGAGGTGCCAGCTACTCCGCCGCCGCTGATGAGGACTTTTAGAGATGTCATTGCGGTTAAGTTCGAGGATTGGATTATAAGGTATACAAAAGATGCGTTAACAGTAGCAAATAGTTCAATCTTGAATGTGATGAGGGGAAAGGTCCAAGAGTGTTAAGCTTCACAACCTGCTTACTTGCCAAAGGCTTGACATATACAAACCAAATTCCCGTCAGGAACAGGTTGTCTATGGCGTAAGAGCGTGCTGCTGCCTTAAGGTTGTCTCGGTCGTTGTCGGGCCCGAGAGATTCGGGCAACCCGAAGGTGCGAAGTCACAGAATCCTTTCACGTCCTACTCCTGCGATCCTGCACTCGTGACGGTGAGTCAACTCGATCTACATCGATCGAAACAAACGCCTCTCACGACTAGTCTTGACTTCAGTGACACTTTTCACGACTTGCGAAATGGTATGCCTAGAACGAGTCAATTTTTACTGTTTTGATTGACTCTTTCACGCACCAAGTTTAGCTGCTGCTAACGTTGGTTGATCTTTCGCAAAAACTTACAGTCAGTGGACTTCTGAGAAAAGTTACAGAGACTGTTGTCGTGAGAGACGTCGTGGGTGGCGAGACAAGATGACATTCAGCTCGTGGCAATGAAGGAAGCCGCTTCTCGCTTGCTGCGATGTGACGGCGTCGGAGAACAAATTATCATGGAAGGCGCAATCAAAATTTGTCAGCTGAAGTTCATGCCAATGCATTTCGATATCCGTGTACATAGATTTACATCTCCTTGCGAATCCAAGAATGACCAAATCCAGCAATTCCATTTCCATCTCCTCTTCAGTCTATCGTACTCGTACTCCGGCTTGCCGAAGGTGCAAGTGCCGCTGCCAGTCCAGCCAACCTCATTCCGCATGCTGTCGAAAAGTGACCAATCTGGTCCGGTAGCAAGCTCCATCAAGAGACCTAATCAGAGAGGAACGCGCGAAGGAACCGCTTAAAAGGTAGCAGGGGCAGCAGTGCTGGTGACGTTGGCGCAGTTCTGTGGCAGGATGATCTGCTGGCCAACAGGGATAGCAGTGGCGTTGACAGTTGGGTTGAGAGCCTTGATCTGACCAATGGTAGTCTTGTAGGTGGCGGCCAAGTCGACGAAGAGATCACCAGAGACGATGGTGTAGGTACCGACAGTGGCGCACTGGCTGTTGGGGCAGACTGGGACGTTGATGACCTGGCCGACGGAGATGGCGTCTGGGTTGGCGATCTGAGTGTTGGCACCAATGAGAGAGTCGAGGGTGATGTTGAAGTCCTTGGCGATTGCGGTGAGGGTGTCGCCGCTGACAATGGTGTAGGTGCTTGGAAGACCAGCAACGCAAGTCTCGGTGGCTGGAATGTCTGGGGTGGCGATGCAAGTGGTGTTGTCGATAGGAAGGGTGCAGCCTTGTGGGATGGTCAAGACCTGGCCAGGAGTGATGAGGTTGACATTGGCGACGTTGCTAGCAGAAGCAATGTCGCAGATACCGGCGCCGGTGGCGGTGGAGATGGTGGTCAGAGTGTCGCCAGCGACCACAGTGTAGGTGGTGGAGCTGGTGGCACCGCAAGGCAGAGTGCCGTTCGATCCTTGGCCTGATGTCTGATTAGTACCGTGGTGGGAAGAGCTGCCGTAGGTCGGCGCCTTTGGTTCATCGCAGTCTTCCTCACGTCGAATCACGGCTCCGTTAGCGACGGCGCTGACGAGCGCGGTGGCTGCGAAAATGTAGGACTTCATTTTGTCTGAGATGGATTTCGTGCGAAACGGTGGTGTTGTTGAGCTGTTGCTGCGTGGATGCGTTCAAATGAGTGTGGTTGTAGCGAGTGACTAGCAAAGGAGTGACTAGAGAGTGCTCAGCGGTTGGTTCTGTCGTTCTATGTTGAAGTGTGCGGCGTACCTGGTTTTATTCTTCTACCCAACGGCTCAAGCGCTCATCTGGCTCCTCTTCACGTTGAAATCGTGCCGATTCTACCTCGAGGTTAGCTCGTCCCAGAGTTGCGTAGCCTGGGTCTAGTGTGACTGCGTACCTTCCGGTCTCGGGTCAATGTCGCTATCGTTGCTTAGCTGCTTAGCTGTTGAGATGTTTTTGCTTTGCGACGCTGTCGTCAACGTTCACGATGGCGTAAGGTGGTGTTGATCCTGGCGGTAACGACTGAAGCTGTGGTAGACTGAACGTACTTTCTAGACACACACTTTGCCGGCGTTGCGTGACGAGTTTTGGTAAATTCAGAGGGAGAGAAAAGCAGACTGCGGACAAGGTATGTTGCTCCTCTCGGCACTCCATGGGTGACAGATCAAGGGATGCTGGCTGGAGACTGGGGTATGGGCGAGATCCTTGTAGTTCTGCGAACTTCAGCGTTTGGTCATCAGCACCATACTGCTTATTGTGCCCAGTCCATCGTTTCGCGACCTGTCGGTCCATGAGAGCCACTGTCCACATTGCGATCTCTCAAGAGCGGATTCCAGCGGCCGACCGCTCATTCATGCTCACGAGGCAATTCAGGAGATACCGATCCATGAGAGAGCCACGTGCGGCTCCTGCATACAATAGCTTGGCAGTATCCTAGGGGCGCAACACCAGGCTCATCCTAGCTCGCCAAAGATTAATCCTCGGACCTGGACGGACACACGTTTCTCTCCTGGCAAGCCATCTTCGAAGCTCGTGTAGAAATGCCGCCCCAGATATTTATGGCTCCTTTTAATGAGCTTCCTGGGGTCGCTCAAGAAAAGTAGGCTTGCCCTTACGAGTCGGCTAGGGCTCAGGCTACCAGGTACACTTTTGCGGTCTGCCCTATCTTGGAAATAGTCTCCAATCGATCGCACATGCCATTTGCTCCATTGAGGCTCTGCGGCGATGTATTACAAGCTTTGCCTCTCTTGAGGTGGACACCGAGGCAGTATACAAATCGGATACCAAGTTATAGTGGACTCAAGAGCTGTTGACTACATCCTCTGCTTGTCAGTATCCGAGAGCATGCGGTTGCAATAACCCGGACTACCATGATATGCGACGGTTCCAAGCAATGGAAGAACCATGTTCGTAAAGCAACGGCAATTTGCGTTGTGCGCGCAGGAGTTGAATCCGAACCGCGCACGATGCTCACTCCGAATCACATCAAGTCACAGAAACAAGTACAAGATCATACGTGCTGTGATGGTCCTGAATTGTCCGGGATCTTGATCTAGACGCCTTCAGGTGAGGTCTTTGAGCTCGTGTCACGGATCATCAGTACTGAGCATACTGTATTGCGCATCTCGGTGCGGCGTTCTCGGAATGCAATACGCCAGTCTGTCGCCAGCCCATCAACCAGGAAGAGGTCCTTCCAATGTCGTTGCCACAATTGGGCTCGAGCCGCCTTCCAGGTCACTTAGCGGGCATGAGCAATCATGTGAGAAGCGCCATGATGGGAGTGTGTAACCGCCGCCGCCGCGCCAACAACGGTGACGGACTGGCCACCTCAGCTGAAGTTGAGATTGTTGTCTGTCGTCGTCGTACGCGTCACGGATCGTATTCTGTCTCAGAGCGAGAATTACAGGTGTGTTGCTCCTGATGGGCATTGCCGCATATGAGAGTAGACCTCATCATCGCTCCAGTGCTGGATCTGCGCGGGCATGTTGGCGACGAAACCACGCGGTATCCGCGGAACGATCGCATGGCTGGTGGCGTTGAATGAAGACGACACGCACTGAGCGCTTCAGTCTCTCCCATCGTTGAACCCAGTACGCGGAATCGCTTCAGATGTGCACGGAAGCCTGCAATTCCAGACCTCATCCCATGCCTATTCGGTTGCCAGAAGTGCACAACAGAAGCTCGCCGAGTACTGGAACAGTTCTCGCCATTGTCACAAAGGGGTTCCCAGACGCCAGTAAATGATAAAGGGGAAGACGCTGCGTTCGACCATGTTCTAGTGCTTATGGTCCTGTAGCAGTGTAGCAGGCGAGACTGCACCCTTGTCTCGGGTATCGGTGGAACGGACAGCTTCTAGCCTGGCCTGACCCACCTGCATCTTGGCCGCCGGTAGGCGGACACAGCAGTATGAACAAACCGAATGTGAGGAATACCAGAAATGACAAGAGCTGTGAAGGCGTTGCGCTGGTTCAACGAACATCGATATACACTCGACGAACGGAATACGAGGTGAGCAGCGTGCGAACCAGGTCAGATTCTAGGTCCAGTACCAGAATCGAGACGGCTCACGAAGCCTACGACTCTGGTGATCAAGTCTTGCACGACTTCCTCAGGATCGCCATTATAGTTGTGGCTCGCGCCTTTCACCACGCCAGTACTTTGGTCGACCGCTCCTCCTCCAACCCGCACAATGTCTGCCCACTTTTGCACCAACTTCTGCTTGTCCACCGTCTTCGGGACGCTCTCATCATTCCCGCTGTATACGATCAGCAGTGGCGTGTGCGGAGACAACTGGCCGAATGTTCCCTTCAGTCGCTCGTCGGAGAGGTCGGATGAGAAGTAGTCGTCGGCTCCATCATGGTTTGGCCCCGGGGAAGAAACGTCGACCCATCTCCGCGCGGTGATGCCCAGCCTGCCATACACATTCTTGCTGAGGCGATAGGGCATCACATCTTTCTCACGGCCTTCCCGGCACATTTGTAACGCAAGCTGGTCGGCTTCGTGCTTGAATGTCTGCGGAAGCTGATCCTCGAGGGCCTCGCGATCTGAGACGGGAGCCTGCAAGATCACGCCGTTCACTTGCGGTCGCTTCTCTGCACCTTTGCCCACGACATACTCCATGCAGTCCTGGCAACCGGTGCTGTGACCCATGATGATCACCTTGCCATTCGGACGCTGCTGCTTCACGTACGTGACGATCTTGGCAACGTCGTCCGCATCACGAGCGATACTGCTCGTTCCCCAAGAGTGGCCGGAGGAGGAGAGGGTAGCGGTGAGGAGGCTCCAATTGGGACCAAGCGCCTGAGCGAGGAGGAATGGATAGGCTACGGAGCCGGCAGTGTCGAACATGCCGCCAATCCATAATAGTGTGTTGATGTTCTGCGCCGACGATGCGAGAGCTTTCGAAGGCTCGAAGGCGGAGACGTTGGGCGGCACATAGTGCAGTCTCCCAGGAGTGCAGCTGGCCGGGGGCGATGTTGCTGCCATGGCGGTGCGGTGGGAGGAGACTTTGGTGATGGCGGAGCGGAATGGAGGGGTGAGTTTGGTGATGTCATGGCGCTGTCCCACCACTTCTGGGCCGAACTCCACTCCGCTCCGCTGTTCATTCCCCATCGCACCTCCTCCGCGGCGCTCGGGACGACAATACCCCTCCAGCATGTTCCACGAGCGATGCTGGAAGACCACGGATAATACGACAGGCATGAAATCAGGCACAAGGATTGGAGGAAACACTTCGAGTGGCATTGGAATACTGTACTTGCTCGACTCTCGTTCGACTTCACTTCCCTCCTCGGCCACGTCCACGATATCGATCTCCAAACGCCATCCGCATTCGTACTTTTGTGTAACCAGGATGTGAGCCTGCCCTTAGCTTCCGCTCTCTGAGTGCGAATAGGGACTGCTTCCACGTGCAGATCGGGCGCCTCCTCATGCAAATCAGCCACAAGTTCGACCACCGCGTCGCGTCGCGCAAACGCTCGTCAGCCGTGTCAAGACGCGATCTTCTGTCGCGACGCGCCTGCAATCCAAAAACCGGCTCGTCCTCACTTCGCTCGCTCCAGAAGGACATCGATTGTTCGAGAGCGCGTCTCAACTGCCGCCCGTGAAGTTGCCGCCGAAGCTCCCCTTCCACAGGATGCCGTTGCGACCAGGCTGTGCAGCCTCGGGTTGCTGGGGAATGTCGAGACCATCTCCTCCACAAGCGTCGCGATGAGCATACTCTCTCGACGAATTTGGCTGGTAGGACTGCTGGACGGTGTCCTTCTTGGGCGTGAGCTCCGTCTCGAACCCATCATCTTCGGACTCGAAGCTGTACACAGCGTTGCGCTGCTCTGCTGCCATCGACCACGAGTGCTGCATGCCGGTGCCTATTCTGGCGCTGGTTGCAGATGGACCCGGCTTCGCCCCTCGAGCTGCATTCACGGGATGCAAATAATCGTGCTTTATAGGATCCTGCGCGGTGGTCAGTGGACATTGAGCATCTGGCTGCATATTCGGACCCACGTAGTACTGTGGCATCGACTGCTTCGATTGGCGAGGCGGTACTGCAGTACGTGCCGGCTCCTCCCACTTCTGCACGGCCGTGACACGAGAGAACGGGTTTCTGCTGATGACTCTCGCAGCATTCTGTGCGTTCGGCTGCTCCAGTGGGCGGAAGGCGTACATTTCGTCGTCTGCATCTTCGAACGAGCGGGCGGCTTCGAACTCGCGTCGCCAGCGAGCGACTTCTTCCTCGGTAGGCTCCTTGTCGAATGGCCAAGGCATGGTATGATGTGGCTCTCTTGCCACAGTGTGTCAAGCGACGAAGGTAATGTGTGTCGAGAGCTGTTCAAAGAAGTGTCAAATGAACGTAGGTCACGAGCACCGGTCACTGATGTTCACTCGCCCGTGGAGCCCTCACTTCACTTGCTCACTTTGCTGACCTACAGATTTTGCGAGAAGCCGTGATCACATGGCAAAAACATCGCCGGATTCCAGCCGTATACCAGACGGTCTCTGTGGCACAGCGCCAACGAATCGAGAGAACTCCATTCGGATCCTCACAAAACGCGGCACCGCCTTTTCGCCACTTTCAGGAGCAGAAGGACAGCTACCATCTTCAAGTGAAGGATAGCGCCCCGCCACTGCTTCCACTCAGGTGCCGGAGTTCCAGACATGTGTTCACGGCTCATCCTCAACCGTCACCAAACTCGTGCGCCACGAAGCCAATGAGAAAGGCCCGGTCCATACGCAGGCACCTGCTGCGAACGACATTAGGCACCACATTGTTTGACCGAGACACAGAACAGAACATGCATTGACTTGATCGTGAACATCGTTACAGCTATTGCGATCATCGCTACTGTCCATGAGCTAACTGGTTCTAACAAGTTGCCCTCGTCTCTTCGCATTTAGGCAACGTGATCTTTTGCACGTTTGCGAACTGTCATCCGTCTTTCGCGGTGCTTTATCTACTCTCCCTTCTCAAGATCTGCCTTTCTCTTCTTCTTCGCGAGCTCTGTGCCGCTTGGAACGATGTGGCTGAGGTCGCCCACTGGCAAGTTGAACGGGAAATCGACGGTGGTGAGCATCAGAGCGAGCAAAAGGTACCAGCCAATGATCATGACCACGAATCCGCACGAAGCGCCGGCAATCTGAAGCTGGTGGCTACGCAAGAAAGTCAGCGTCGACATCGATAACTTAGGTCGGCGCATTTCACATACCCGATCATCTGCTTGCCCGCCTCTGTGACAGTCCAGTAGCTCGCGGAGATCAGGATAAATGTCAGGAAGAGGAAGAAGAACGCCGCGCAGAACAGGATGTTGACACGCAGTGCACAGATCGTGCAGTAAATCGTGAAGATGGCCATCATCAAATTCCAGAATGCTGTAACAATCGTCAACTTCTATCGTCGGATCGCGGAAGTCTCTTGCGCTTACCCAAACCAGAGAGGAATGGCGGCGCTTCAGCACCACTTGCAGGGTTGGTTGGATCTGGCGCATACGCGAGAAAAGCAGCGAAAGATGGAGTGAGCGTTGCCTACAGACTTGTCAGCGAGAAGGTGAGGAACAAGATTCTGCGATCGATACATACTCCAAACGACAAGAAGTAGCCGCCAAACACGCCGAAAAAAGTAGCTGGAAAGGTGTTTCCGAGGATGAGTTCGAAGATGCAGGCGATGATGGCCAGCAGGCCTCCGCTGAAGTAATAGGTACCGACAGTCGCAGCGCCATTGCCCGTGTAGCCTCTCCAGCCCAGGAGGGAGAAGATGATGGGACAGTATGCAACAAGGAAACCACCGAGACCCAAAGGCGTTGGATTGCCTATGATCTGGCGCAGGTCACCAGAAACCTTGTTCTGTGGTGCCAGATACATGCGCTCAAACATCTCCGGAGTAATGGTGATGGAGCCTTCCGTCCTCGCCTGTTGGAGAGTGGGCAATCCAGCGGCATGGTCGTGGCTGTCCGCGAAATCTTCTCTATCCTTGGAGACTGACATGTTGGGCAAATTGGCGACTGGATTACTGACAGGACGAAATAGCTGGCTCACGACAAGATCAAACTTGAGTCGAAGCGATGGAAGCGGGCATTCCGCTCTTTTTATCTGGCCATTGACACGTTTACCGAGCTTCGACTGACGCACATCTCCTCCACAAAGGTCGCGCTTCAAAGATTGAGACTATGAATCTGGTTAGCTATTCCCCAATATTGCCAGGCCGGCAAACTCGACTTGAGGAAGTATGCATGTCGATCACTAGGGCGATCGCATTCGCACAGGATGCAGCTCGAATAGCGGATTCTAGGACAACGTGCAGCGAGATCACGACCAGTATGCTCCTCGCATACGTGAGACGGGCCTGGTGTTCACGATCGATTGTATGCGCCTATCGCGCTGCCAGCGCGCACCTCAGCCAATACGACATCCCACTCTGTGTTATGGACACAGGCAAGAGGCAGGAGTCGACGTTGCAAAAGAAGCCAAAGAAGCTTTCCCCGCAATCCGCCTTCCTCCTTACGGGACGCCGCAAACATGGCTTGGCAGCCTTTGCCGCGGTTATGGCTTCTGCGAGGCGTTTTCAAGCATCCTCGTGCACGCCGCTGGTGTCATGGGGCGCATTCGATCGCAGTGACTTGATCATGTCTTTGGAGAGCTCCATCCTCTATGAACAAGTGTCTCTGCTGACTGCAGCAGATCATTATTGCGAGACTTCCGAGAAATTCGCAGCCGAAGACGTGCCTCCGATCACTACCCCATTGGCTTGATGCCGGATCGACACCAATGTCCTCATTAGTGTGACGACAGGCGGTCCGTGGTTATGCTGGATTTATGCATTTCGGCAGTGGAGCACAGCTGCAGGCGATGTCGCGTGACTGTTCACAGTGTGATGAAAGGCAATGCTGTGCATGTGGCCAGCTATGTATGCACAACGACCGCAGTGGTCGAATCATCTCAAGTTGATGATTGATCATCACGCACAACTGCCACGTCCCTGGCACGACAGAGTTCTAGTTCGCAATCTAGCAATTCCTCAATAGCATGGGCACATCAGCCCGACCGCTGACAAGTATAGTGCCCCTTCGTAGCATCAAACGTAAGAGAAGCCTTCCCAGCAGGATAGTCTCCACCTTTCTCGATCGTATAATCATGCGGGCTGGTCTGTCCTCTCGCACAAAGGCAGACAGCTGTTCCTCCGATGTTATTGCCTTTCTCGTCCACTCCAGGTGAGTCCTCTGTAGTTGATGCGCCGCCGATACCTTTACATGCTTGCTGGATCCAGTCTTTGACTTTTTGGTAATCACAGATTTCGCTGCAGGTGTAATCGAAGTCTGGGAGCTCTTTTGTTAGTTTTGCAAGGTTTCCGTCGGCGAATGGCTGCCTTACACCCTGGTTTATTGTCGCCCCGAGCGTAAGATAGAGGTAGGGAGGCCACAAGGGCTGCAGCTAGGAGTAATCCTGACTATCATCAGTAAGGAGAGCACGATACGGCACCTACAATGCTTACTCATTCTGTCTCTTATGCTGGTACTATTGTAGAAGACTTGTTCAATCGACCACAGCAGATGGTAGCACGAGCGACCCGTCACTTATGCTACACTGGACTCTCTATATATTTGAGCGGTTCATTGGCAACATGAAGGAAAATTCACTCGCCGCAATGGCCTTACTGCAAGCAGGACATTAATGCGATAAGAGCTCCGGCTTAAGGACAACATTAGTGCGTCTCGAGCATCCCGATGATTGCCCGCATCCGCGCGTGTTGGGGGGCAACGAAAGAGCGCGGCAATATATGGTAGCCTCGCCAAGATTTCGGCAATGGTTGTTAGCTATATGTCTATGGTATTGAGCGTTTGATGAATACGAAAGCACGAATGAGCCCTAAAAGGCTAACAGCTATGTTGGTTCACCATTTTCAGGCTATAGTCTTGTTGCGCAATTGAACCATGGGCCTAGCTCCTGTTCTTCTTTAACGAGCAACATATGCAGCAGAAGGACAATCCCACATTGTCGCACCTTAACGATCGCCAGACCAGAGGTACATTACCGTACATCTGATATGTTGATTAGCTGGGATCAGTGCTGGAGTCTACTCGTCCAAATTGAAACATGGTGGGAAAACATGCAGCTCTCGCCATTAATTTTTTCTTAGTCGATGCTTGAGCCTCGGAGAAAGATAGGCGGAAGTCGAAGGTGCTCGTACCGGCATTGAGTCGTCCTCGTCCCAAATGACTGGTTACACAACGCGATCGGGCGACCGTCTTGCTTCGGCGCAGAGCACCAGTCGGTGGCAGCTTGGAATAGTCTAGCATCCTCTCGACATTGGCCCATAAGTGGTTACTCCAACGACGAATCCTTACACTTGCTGGCTTTCTTGTCTCTGCAAGCGAAGTAGCATAATCCACGGGACATAAAAGCCACTTAGAGCATTTACATCTTGCATCGAATGCAACCCCCCGTCTATACCTGCCTTTCGTTGTCTCCAGATCGGCATCTTGATTGAACTCAGGCAGCGTCCTGGCCGTGTTGTAGTGCTGCGAGACAGCACAAAGAGCCATGACCAAATGGCTTCATTTGTACTTCTGTGCGACTTATCCTGACGTCTAGCGTCCATTCAGCTCCAAATATTGGAGTTGTCGTGAAGCCCCAACGTGGGGTCCAAAGTGCAGTCTGGACAGTTTCCCAATGCTCAATGATGTCACCCACATCTTCATGCGTAACACAACATTTGGAGCTCCCCTCCTCGTGGTTGACTTGTGCACGCGGACCTGGAAGTTTTCTACTATTCTCTTGAGCAAAGATCTCCTGCAGACACAAATCATCAAGGTGCAATTTGCCAACCAACACTTACCTCTTCGAGTAAACCCATCGAAAACAGCAACCAATCAGCCCTCAGCAGCAGCCAATATGTCTGAACCAAACATCCCCCAGAAAATGAAAGCGATCCAAGTCGTAGAATACAAAAAACCCTACGAAATCCGAGAAGTCGACGTTCCAAGTAACCTCTCAGACCACGACCTCCTCGTCAAAGTCGCCGTAGCATCAAACTGCCACACAGACTCCATGGTCTCACAAGGAATTTTCGGCGCTCCTCTCCCCCAAACAGCTTCCCACGAAGGAGGTGGCAAAGTCGTGAAAGTCGGCTCTGAAGCCTCCAAGAAAGGCTTCAAAGTCGGAGATCGAGTAATGGTCGGACTTCCTCTTCATCCTTGTGGCTCCTGTGGGGACTGTCTGGGACCGGAGAACCAGCAGCAGTATTGTACGAAGATTGAGGGGCATGTGGGTGTGACGACGAATGGGTGTTTTGCGGATTATGTGAAAGCAGATTCGAGGAATACGACGAAGTTGCCGGATGAGGTGAGCTTTATGAGTGCTGCGCCACTGGCTTGTGCTGGGAGGACGGTGTGGAGGAGTGTGCTTAAGAGCGGACTGAAGTCAGGAGAGTGGATTTGTTTCGTCGGCTCAGGTGGTGGGTTGGGGCACCTCGGCGTGCAATTCGCGAAAGCTTTGGGTTTGAAGGTGATTGGAGTGGACGCCAGAGATGAAGGGTTGGAGTTGACGAAGCACTATGGCGCTGATGTCGTCGTTGATGCGAGAAAAGGCAAAGATTCGGTTGTCAAAGAAGTCCAGGCGGTGTCCAAGGGCCAGGGAGCAGACGCCAGTGTCACGTTGTCCGACCACAAAGACGCCGCAGGTATTGCCTGCGCAGCCACGAAGATGCACGGCACGATGGTACAAATCGCCCAGCCGGACAACATCGAGATCCCATTTCCTGAGATCATCTTCCGAGATATCAGGATCATCGGATCTCTGATTTCAAGTGCGGAGGAGTCGAAGGGCATGCTGGACGTGATTGCAAAGCACGGCGTGACCGTGACGACCGAGAAGTTCTATGGCTTGGAGAGTATTTTCGACCTGGTCAAGCTAGGTAAGTCGAGCTCCGTTCATAACAAACGCTTGCAAAGCACATGCTGACTGCCACATAGTGCACGGTGGTAAGCTGAAGGGCAAAGCAATTATTGTGGTCGACAACGAGCAGATCGAGCACGAGAAGAGCATTGGTGCGAAGTTCTAAACGCGATATCAGCAGAGATAGACGTGTGAAATTTTGAGATGTGCAGACCAATCCGGTCGTTTCAATCGGGTTCTTCGTAACGTAACGGCATGCCTATGCGAGGAACTCTCCATCCACCAGAGTCTCCCAAGGTTTGTTCTCGTCCCAGACAGTCTGCATCAGGCGGCGTGCGTGCCCGACATGTGACATGCCCCAACCCTCCACGGCTTCCAGGCGAGCCATGAAAGCTTGCCGCTGATCCTCTCGTTGCGCTTCACAGCCTGCACTGAACATTGGGAACAGCAGACATGATTCGGCAGAGCTTCCCCTTCTGATCCTTTGCAGCAACTCAAGAACATTCTCAACACATTCTTGCACCTCCGGATCAGAAGAGGGCAACGCGAGCACGCGACGAGCGAGATGAATTCTACCAGCCCAGTGGTACGCCTCATTTGTTGCATATATCTCGGCCACATCTTGATCATTATGTGAGTCGCCGGCATCGGGGCTCCCAGGCTTGCTGTGCATGCAGCCTCGGAACACCATGCGCGCACTCGCATTCAATCGTTGCTTGAGCTCCTCAGCGGACTGTCTCAGTTCCGAGGTGGGACTCCAGCCAGCCTTGACTTGATTTGTAACAGGATCGATCCTCTGGCTGTCGCATTGTGCTGAAAGTTCCGCGACTTGAGCTAGCAGTGCTATGCATCGCCCAGAGAAACCAAAGAAGCAGTCGATCTGGTAGATTTCCTCGTTATCGCGGTTGACTAGCCACAGTCCCCCTCCGTCTTCGAGGTACGCTCCAAAGAGAGGTTGCTGATGTCTGTTCGACAAGCTGCCGAACACGTCTAGGTACGCAAACCAACGGGACAGAAAGAATATAGCCTTGTCACGAGCGCCGTCTGCTTTTTGCGCAAGATGGTGTAGACCACCCTTAGCGATGATCAGACGCCGCGCCATTTGCAGATGATGTTGCCATGGAATTCGAATAGATGAGGTGTTCGGTGTGATAATCTCCAAACTCGCCAGCGTAATCGCAGCTGCGAGCGGGGCTAGCGAAGAGGGATCAGTCGGGTCATTCATGCCTGGTGATGAAGGTTCATCGAGAGCTTGCCGGAGTGCAGGCAGCACATCTGACATCCAACCAGCTATACGGTTCGCGGGCTCAGCGTGGCCGAGCAATCTTGCTCTGTGAGAAGCAGAAAATGCGAGGAGTAGATGCAGGAGTTGAGCGTTTCGTACCGCCATCTGCGGGAGGACTACGCGGAAAGGATTTTCGGGACAATCGTGAGGTACCATGACACGGCCTGTGTGATTGATGAAGTGATGAAAATATAGCAAGTTCATCTGGTTGTTCGTGAGTTCGTCGGGCAGTGGATCAAAGCGGCGCGGGATTTTGACGGGCACCGGATTCTGGTAATATCCTCCTGGTTCGAATGCGATCTGACTCGCCTCGACATCGTTGCTCGAATTGCTGGCTTCCGAGACTGCGGTGCTGGTTCGTCGCAAATCAGGCGACCGCGGGAATATGACATTCTGATCGTCGTTGTGAGGCACGTCATGGTCAGGCAAGCCGTGATCATATCCAAAGATGCGATACCCATGGCTTTCATTGCGTTTGGCCTTTGGACGATCGACATCCTCGGTAGGGTCTGATAACAACGATTTCACTGACAGACGGCGAAGATCAGGTGGATCCTGCACCTGGAGGGCTGCGGGATGCGGCGGATAGGGCGAGCCCGAATTCAGACTGGAGCTCGGTGTGGCTGGCGTGTTGACGATGCTGCCAATACTGTGGGGAGTATGTGGCATTTGATACGATGCCGGCGACAAGTCCGGCTGCATAGGCGTGTACGGTGCGAACCTGGGCGCGGTGCTTGGTCGTGATGCGGAAGTGCCGTTCAGCTTCAGTCGCTTGGCGCCGTGCTGCGGCGACCAGTGGAAGTCCTCTGGGCTCGCACCCGCGCCCACTGGAGCAGAGGTTGGCGACTGTTGCTCGTTAGGTGCATGCTGCTGCGAAGGACTGCCATGTTGCGGCACGAAGGGCTGTGAAGCTGATGAGCCCGGCCGAATAGCAGACCCATAGGGCTGCTGCTGACTATACTCCAGGCGTGGATCAATGGCGGAAGGCTGTGCTTGCGACGCAGAATCTGATGCCGAGAAGAGGGTGTAAGGAACCAATGGGACTGGTCTGGGAGCGGTCGCAATATGTTGGGCAGAGAAGACATGTTCTTGCCCGACGCCACCGAGGCCGGGGGCCTGTTGTGAAGACGAATGTGGTGTTGTCACGAAGGTGAAGCTGCCACTCTCTGATGAAGCGCCGTCCCTGCCGCCTTTCGACCTGCCTCCCCAGTTGAGGCGGATGCTATAGTCACATGTCTCGCCTGACGACGGCCGTCAGTCTCTAGAATGCAAGATGACAGCCCGCACTACCCACCGTGCTTTTGGCAGTTCGCACACTGCGGGCGGACTTCATCACACTTCACCTACCGCCGCGATGTGAGCTCAGGTGCCTGAGAATGGTGTCCCACTACTACAAGCTGATATGGACATCTAGCGCGCAGCATCGCGATATGCACTCACTTTTCTCGCCTTGCACGGCCAGCAGCCGGTGCGCGAACGCTTCTTAGGCTCTGCATCCGAGGCTGACTTTTTCGGTCGTGGCATGTCTGCGAACTACGCCGATGCGCTTCGCATTCGCCCGCTGCGGCGGAGGCGGTCGTGGTCCAGTCGCGCGCCGCGGATCGCATGCATTGTCGGTGCTGTGCTGCCGCTGGTGAGCCACTCCTCGAGTCCGGAACGCGTGTCTGCGCTCGTCGACGGTCGTGGTCGTGGGCAGAATCGATCAGCGTGGACGCTCAAGCGACACAGGGCTGCAGGTGCAGCATGTGCAGTCAGCTTTCCGGCCCCGCTGCTGTTCCATCTCTTGGTCCTCCCGGCTCCGCAGCACCACTTGATCCGCGCACACATGCATTCGCGTCTGCGCCTTCGTGCTCGGTGGCCTCCGGGCTCTGCAGCGACGAGGTACGCGGAGAATGTCAGGACGGAGGTGCCCGCTCCGCACGATGACACACCGTCAATGCAGCGGCCACGTTCGAAACACGTGCGGAGCGTGCGCCCACTATGGCTAGAGGCAAAGTGCCGATGATGTAAGAGTATGCTGACACCAGCCTGTAAAACTCTCGATTCCTGCAACTTCACTCTTGACCATTGCCGTCGTCGACATTGAGAGATAGGAGACCGCCATGGCACAGCCGACTCAGCTCGCCGATGAGCTTCTCCGCCGCCATCCGCTGCAGCGTATGCAGGCTCCAGGTAGAGGAGCATCCGCTATCCTCCACGTGTTGGGCTTGAGCTCGTTTGCATTCTCGTTCAATCACCTCGTGGTAAATCCCAATCCTGTGTATGATTCGAGGTGGTAATACGACGAGGAGAGCCAGTGCTAATGTGAAGGCAGAAATGACTCGTATGGGTGGCATATGCAATTTCTCACCATCATTGGTCTGTCACTGGCCACAGCAACTTTCGCGTGCGGCCTGCTTGCCGACGTAACTCTCTCGCGCCGCCTATTCCAAGTGAAGAATACTCTCAGCGTAGCCAGCGCACCAATGGAGTGCTTGATCAGCTTATTGTACTGGGGACTTCGAGCAGTGGGTAGCAACAGGTTGATGATATGTGTAGATTGGATGTCTGACAGGTCTTCTAGATCGACCCCAAGCTTGTACTACCAGATTGGGCTCCTCCACTCAGCTTCGGGGCAGACCTCTCCTTCCATGCCGTGCCCGCAATCGCCCTCGCTGTGGACCTCCTCTTCTTCTCGCCCCCTTGGACAATAGCCTTTCTCCCAGCTCTAGGCCTTAGTGGTGCCATCGCATTTGGATACTGGTTTTGGATCGAGCGATGCTACCAGTTCAATAATTTCTATCCCTACCCTATTTTTGATCTGCTCAGCACGCCGCAACGTATTGGGTATGATCATCGCGCACCAGTCAGTCATGGGCCTCAGTCACTGATATGATTCTAGTCTCTTCGCTGCTTCTGCGTTCCTCATGACACTGTCGACTTCGGTCTTGATCTGGCTCTACGCTGTCATCAACGGCAGAGACGTGTCAGGTCTGTCCAGCAACAACGTCCAACGCTCACGAAGCGGCAACGTCAAAGGGAAGTGAAAAGTCCCCAACGTGGCGCACAGAATCCAGTGTCGACCTCGCATGAGGATCAAACCTGAATCGAAGCGGTCAACATCTGCCGGCACCGTCAACACTGGCCATGGTTTGGTGACTGGCGAGTCGTATGACCATCTTTGACTCAAATCAGACTTGGAGCAACGATCCCAGGCGATCTTTATCCGGCTTCGACAGCTGTATGTAGGTCGAGAAGCGCTCCTACCACGGTGCGGCTTCAATCTCATCACACGTGGTGTAATAGTGAAACGTCCCTCAGCGCCAATATCCCTCACAACACCTGTCTTCATTCACGCTCTCCCATATATGCGCCGTCACGCAGAACGGTATCACATTGTGCTTCTACCTTCTAGTTCCACTCTGCTTCACTCTCAGCTCCACCAGACGCACGGATGTGGTACGCTGCACGATGACGCGCGAGGCTGTGCTCTGTGGCGGTGCGATGCATTGGCACGCGACGCGTCGAACAACACAGGACAGCGTCGCGAAGTTGCCCTTACCTCGCCTTCGTGTGACTGCCGGCGAGCATCCGAGCGAAGATGCTCGAGATGACTCTGCCGTCGTCGCCTCCATTGTTACCTCAAACCAGCTTCAATGAGCCACCATCATCGCCTCCACTGCCGCCGACCAGATCCTCCTCTTCCAGACTCCCCGTGCTTGGAAAGCGGCAGCTCTACGAATGTGACAGCAACATCTCGAGCGATCCGTTGTTTTCCGACGACACATCGGGAAATGAAGATGCAACGAGTTACCAACGACCGAAACGAAAACGCATGATCAAAGGAAAATGGTGGGAATTGGCTGAGCGACGAAAGCCGGATAACGATGCGACGCCCAAACAGAAACATTACACTAGGAACGTTGACAGTGGAGTATGGATGGGCAGCGATGGCAGTGAAGAGCACGTCGAGCACGATCTCAGTTCCCTTGGCACATCAAGCGTAATGGGTGTGCAAAATCGGCCACGCGCCATACAACTAGTGCCAGCGACGACGCAAAGGTGTGCTTCCAAGATGTCATGATGCGTTCGATTACTAACGTCCGCAGCAGACAGACTCCACGAACGCTCGCTGAGGATATCGTCACGAGATGTGTGGAGGATGGGAAAGACAGGGTGGACCTATCGCAACTGGGTCTCACTGAGCTGGCTCCATCGACCCTCAAACCGCTTCATGAGCTCATCCGGCAACCAACATTCGACGTGTCCATGCCTCCTTCTGACGATGAGCTGGGGCCGTTGACACCTGATCTTCAACTGTTTCTCGCCGCTAATGACCTTACGTCCCTGCCCGATGAGCTATTCAATCTGCAGAACCTTACTGTGCTCAGCGTCCGCAACAATGCGTTGACTGAGCTGCCTTCAGCCATTAGCCGACTGAAAAGGTTACAGGAACTAAACATCGGAAACAATGCTCTTCACTGGCTGCCCTGGGAGCTGCTCGATGTTTTACAGTCGCGGCATGTTCGAGCCATCCTGCATCCGAACCCTTTTATGGAGCTTTCGCCTGATGATCTGGACGAGGAAGCTACTTTCCAGTCGATGCAGCGATCTTCGGTTCATGCGCAGCTGCAGCAGAGCGCAAACCTCCCACCTGCTGCTCCCACTATCCGAGAACCATCAACCAGTGAGGGAGGCGTCTCTGATCTGCAAACACAACTCAGTCTGCGATTACAGCTGGGCCATGCTCTTCGTAAGCAAAGTGCCGAGCCAAACGAGCCGAATGGTCTGAAAAGCAATGCATATGAGGAACTGATCTTCCTGGCGTCCTCTACCATTCACTATACCGACATCGATGGACACCTCCCAGTGGCTCAATCTCCCCCACTGGATTTGACTACACGAGTGCCTTCATTGCTAGAGGTATCTTTGCGGAGCGTGCGTCAGAACTACAGCCTTGCACAAATTCCGGAAACTCTGCCGGACCGGGTCCGATCAATACTCAAAGTCGCATCGGAAGCACCAGAGGACCAAATCTGCAGCACTTGTGCGAATGGCTACATCCTACCCCGAGCTGAATGGGTAGAGTATTGGTATCGAGGTCTGGATGCGAAGGTGGAACTCACACCAGACTCTGTACTGCCATTCCGCCGGCGAGCATGCAGTTGGAAGTGTGCGACTCCTACAGAAATAGGATCTTTCAGAGCATGAGTAAGTGTCCAATGCTAGCACGGACTTCTCAGGGTGTCAATAGTGTGCGTTCCCAAATCGTCGCCATCTCCAGTCCCGTCGCAACGCGTCTGAACTATAACCATCCCAGCGAACTCTGACATGATAAACAAAGCTCCTTGCCACAGGACACAACGATGCGGTGATCATGCGAGCCAGGCTACGGCACCATTCATGCGCGCGAATTTGGAGTTTGCTTCAGAACAGGAGAACAGCACACGCCTGATTGCGACAGCAAGTGTCGGCGTCGGCAGAGCGCGTGCAGCGTAGCGCGTGCAGACGCGCCAAAGAATAAGCTCTTTTTAAGCTCTTTTTAGCGCGCCCGACTCGCGTAAAGCACCTTTTCGACTTCGACTTGAACCTCGACCTCACCAACTTAGTCGACTTCGCCGCATCCTGTACAGCGTCATTCTTCGCATCCCGCTGGATGTTGGACCGGACGAGTGTTTGGTGAAGGCGGCGTCAACATGCGGTTCACAGTTCACATAATGCCGCCGCCGCGGAGGCAGTGGCCGCCAGACGCCATTGACGATACCCCACCAGCACTGAAAACCTCGACTTCGCCGGCGACTGCTTCAGTAACTCCGCTGGTCGCACTCGAGAAGCTCGCTGTTCCGGTCGAACCGACTTCTACCTTTGCGTCGCTATGGAAAGAGAGTGAACAACGCTTTCGAAGTATGAGGAAAGACGGCATGGCCGGCATGTATTTCAGCCACCTGCAAAACCTCGAAGGGGGAAAGATCACCATGACGGACACGATTGAGAGCATGTACGAGGAAGGCACACCAGCTTCGGAACGACAGCTTTTTATCTACACGGACTATATCGATCGGCCCAGCGCAGTCTCTGGGAGCACCGGAATACCGTTCCAGGGACACAAGAAGCGACCCCACGCAGATGCGAGCAATGCACAGCAAGCAACTTTTAAACGTCGTCGCATGGAGAGCACTCATCGCGGTGCGCCGCTGAAGCAAGGCGACGCAGAGACTGCAGGTTCGTCACGTGGAGCAGGGGACGAGGATGTGCTTGAAGCGGGGGCGAAGTCTACAGCTCATGTCCCTGACCGGCCTCGAACCGAAATTGCCAACAACACAGGATCGAGCGGAACCGTTGACCAGGAACGTGAGGACGCGACACAGCGACGCAGCCTTGATTCCACACAGAAGTCTCCCCTCTCACCACAAAGTCCTGTTACCAAAACTGGTTCGAAGCAGACTCCGCCGCAAAATGCCTTTCGTAGACTCGAACGGCGGCAGCATGCGTCGGGGAAAGGGCGTCCCAAGAGTACCTGGTCGCCCGCTGAGGACAAGATCCTCAAACAGGGCATGCGAGGTAATTGGAATTCAATGCGCATCTCCCAAGCACTTGCCAGCTTTGGTCGAAGTGATAATGCAGTACGAGGAAGGATCAGATTGCTTTTGGCAAAGGACCCGTCGCTCCGTGGCAGCACGCAAAGTCGAGACGTTACGCCACGTTGGAATTCCAGCCCCCCTCTAGCCACGGGAAGCACTGTCATCCCCTCAAGCCCATGCGAAGTCAATGCCATTCCAGCACCGACATCGACTCCTAACATCATCGCCTATGTGCAGCTGCCAGATCCGCCTGTACCGGCAGAAGATGGCCCGCAAATCGCTGCGCAGATTGTGCCCGAAAGCCAACTCGTCTCCGGTCAGACTGCTACTCCGCCCACCTCCAATTCGTCAGAGAAGAGTGGGAAGCTGCGAGCACCAGCCCACCGGATGTCCAATGCTTCGCGCCTTCGCAAATCTCGGAACCATGCGCAATCTGCACGAACGTCAAAGGTATCCGGCTCAGGATCGGTCGATGCCGATAAACCCTCCGTAATCAAATGTACACCTGAGCAAGCATTCAAGCCCGTTGACAACAGTAGCCGATCTCTCGAGAACTCCGAATGTGCAGAGCGAAGCTCAGCGATCGCGGGATTGCCCAGTCACTCGGACGGTGGAGGCCTTGAGACACGAGATGACAGCAGGCGTGAAGTCTCAGTCACGCACGCTGAGACGCTCGCGAACCACGTGTCAGCATCCCAACCCAAAGCTGATGTCACCATTCCGCCACGCAAGCAGGGTGGTGCGACTCAGCGTCGCAAGGACAAGGCGCGATGGCGAGAAGCTCTGGCGCTCGCGAAAGGCCAGAGAGCTGAAGCCGAACACATCTTCATGATGAATCTCAACAAGGAAGCGATGCTTGAAGCAGTCTCTGTTGAGGACGAAGCAGAGATCCAGCGCCTCAAAGCGCAGCGCCGGCGTTTGGAGCGTGAACTCGCACTTCAAAAGGGCGTTGCACCACCCAAGAGACGTGTGCCACCGTCCTTTTCCTGTGCCCAGGATTCTCGGCCGCATCTTGAAGAAGAAGCAGACGAGGTGGTGATCAGAGAAGACGGCTGGTCTACGGATGAGGAAGAGAATGGACCGGAAATGCCGGATGATTTCGAGGACAGTGATGTGTACGATGAAACCGCGTCGGTTTCTGCCCTGGACGACGAATTCGAAGTAGTCGACGTAGACGTGAAGGGTGTGGAAGGACCGCGAATCGTGGAGCTGACTCCCACGCCTCCTCCGTCAATTGCTGTAGCCGAAGAACACGCCAAACCCAAGTCGAAGAAGAACAGGACGAAGACGGCGAAAAGCTCCGCCAGGAAAGCGACGCAGGCTCAAGCTCAGAACACTTCGCGGCCTTCGATCACGCCTGCAGATGCAAGACTTGCTGCATCCAAGCCAACAATGAGCCGCAAAGCCACCGCTTCTCGAAAGGCAAGCATTCCCGCGTCTGACGTCGCCGCGAGGAGCAGGGCGTCTAGTGAGCTGTCAAGGAACCCGCCGAACACACCTCATTGGAAGCTCACGCATGACCAGGTGGTAGCCGCGCATCTGGCAGAGTGTAAACGGAAGGAAGCACTTTGGTTAAATGATGATGATGACGGTGACAGTGATGATGATTCTGAAGCAAGCAGCTCTTGATGAACACTGTGCTATCTTCCATTCAGGCGTATTACTGCGTAGATGTAGCCCTGTAGAACTAGCTCTGACGATACTCGATGAACATCACGTTCCTTCATCGATATCTTGCACCTCTTCCTCGCGATGTTCCTGCCGTATATGGATTCTGCTTGCGGAGTGCTTGCCGGACGCGAAGCTGGAACGCGCCGCGTCTCATTCGACCGGGGGGACGCGTCGATTTGACTTCAACGTCATCAAACATTAAGTCGGTGCGGACACGCGAATCAGTCGAACATCGTAACGACAACGACAATGGGCACTGCACGGTCACCGCCGAGTCTCACGCAGAGGTCATCACAGGTCAAGCAATCGTCGATATCCAGTTTCTTCACCCCACAAGCTCCGTCTCAAAAACCCAAAGTCAAGGACATTCCCGCGCCGCAGCCAACCGCCACTCCGGCTAGGAAGAATGCAGATAGGGAGGATGACTTGTTTGTGACTGACGATGAATCGCATGGACCTCGAAGAGCATCCACGTCGTCGAAACGAGCCTTGGAAGACGGCGATGATGACGAGCCTGCCACGAAGCGACGCAGGGCACGATCCAATGGCGAAGCGGAGGGCGAGGACCTCGCTGCTGGTCCAATGCGGAAGGATAGTACAGCAAAATTGAAGACAGCTGAACGGACATCCAAGTATACCTTCTCCAGCTCGAACGAACCTGCTCACGTTCCCGATCCGGACGAAGCAGACGATGAGGAGACCCGTCGGATGAAAGCCCGCCTGCATCAGAAATTCGTGAAGAAGCTCGGGCGGCCGGACAGCCTAGCAAACATCAGACGGCGGAGTGGCGTCATTGATGAGGAGGCAGTAGCGGCAGAGGACGATCCACCCGATGATGAAGAGGAGGAAACAGCAGCGTCAAAGAAAGGCGGGAAAGGTGGTGGAAGAAAGATTCCGGCATCAAGAAAGGGCAAGCTCACACCTCTGGACCAAAAGGTCGTGGACTTGAAGCGGAAATATCCAGATGTGCTTCTGGTAGTCGAAGTGGGCTATAAGTACAGGCTTTATGGCGAAGATGCTCGAGTAGCAGCTAAAGTCCTGTCGGTGGTGTGCATTCCGGGCAAGATGCGCTTCGATGAACACCCATCCGAGGCACATATGACAAGATTTGCTGGCGCGAGCTTTCCTACGCACCGGCTGCACGTACATGTCAAGCGACTGATCAACGCTGGGCACAAGGTAGGCATAGTACGACAGCTAGAGACGGCCGCTTTGAAAGCTGCAGGAGCCAACAAAAGCAAGCTATTCGAACGTGATCTGACGAATTTGTATACGAAAGCGACATACGTCGATGATGAGGAGGGACTAGACACAAGTCTTGCGGGCGCTGAAGGTGGCGCTCCTGCATCTGGTCATTTACTGTGTCTGACAGAAAGCTATCCAAAAGGTAACGGCTCGGATGAGAAGGTTCACCTTGGTCTCATCGCCGTCCAGCCTGCGACTGGCGAGATTGTGTACGATGACTTCGAAGATGGCTGGATGCGAAGTGAACTCGAGACCCGCCTCTTACACATCTCTCCAGCTGAATTCGTTATTGTCGGAGAGGTCTCTAAAGCGACCAAGAAACTGGTGCAGCATCTATCAGGCGGTGATGATGCTCGACTGGAATGGAAGGACAAGCCGAAGACCGTGGCTGCTCAAGCTTACAGTCACATCACAAAATTCTACGCTGACAAAATGAAGGAAGGAGAGGCAAGCTCGTCACAAGTGCAATCATCGCAAGACACTGGAACTCTTCTGGATAAGGTGCACAAGCTATCAGAAAATGCGACGATCTGCCTGTCGGCTATGATCACGCATCTTACAGACTACGGTCTTCAGCATGTATTTGATCTCACAAAAAGCTTTCAGTCCTTCAGCGCCAGATCACACATGTTGCTGAACGGTAATACATTGACGAGTCTGGAGATCTATCGCAACCAAACCGATCAGGCGGAGAAGGGTTCTCTGTTCTGGACGCTGAACCACACCTCGACTCGATTCGGGCAGCGCTTGCTTCGCAAATGGGTCGGCAGGCCGCTGTTGGATCGTGCGAGACTTGACGAACGAGTCGCAGCTGTCGAAGAGCTGAAGGAGGGCGCGGGCCAAGCAGGGATCGAACGCATCAAGCAATTGCTCAGTAAAACGAGAGCCGACCTCGAGCGCACGTTGATTCGCATCTACTACAAAAAGTGCTCTCGCTCGGAACTGTTGCAATTCTTGCAGACACTCCAAGGCGTGGCGCAGGAATATCACTTTGTCAAATCGGCTGCGGATGCAGGGTTCCAGTCAAGCATGATCAACGAAGCCATTGCTGCTTTGCCCTTGATCTCCGACGATGTGCTCGACTATCTTGGACGTATGAATTTGCAGGCAGCCAAGGAAAACGACAAGTACAACTTCTTTCGTGACGAACACGAGACGGAGGACATCACAGACCACAAATGCGGTATCGTGGCGGTAGAACACGATCTCAACGAGTTCAAAGCAACCGCAACAAGTTTGCTCAAACGAAGAGTACCAGTAACCTATGTGACGGTCGCGGAGATCGACTACCTCATCGAGCTTGACAACACGCAGCTCAAGAATGTGCCCGCCACCTGGACCAAGATATCAAGCACGAAAAAAGTTAGTCGCTTTCATCCTCCTGAAGTCGTGAAGCTGCTTCGAGAGCGAGACCAACACAAAGAGAGCCTATCCAACGCTTGCGACGCTGCCTTTGCATCCCTTCTAGCGGAGATTGGGCGCAAGTATGAAGCATTTCGCGAATGCATTCAATCATTGGCATTGCTTGACTGTCTCCTCTCATTGGCCTCGGTGGCACAACAGCCAGGCTACTGCAAGCCTGCCTTTACGGACAAGCCTGGCATTTCCATATCAGCGGGCCGACATCCCATGGTGGAGCAGTTGCTGCTGGACAATTTCGTGCCAAATTCCGTTGATCTCGCTGGCGACGCGACACGTGCACTGCTCATCACGGGGCCGAACATGGGCGGCAAGTCTTCGTATGTTCGATCTGTGGCGTTAATTGCAATCATGGCCCAGATTGGTTCATATGTGCCAGCAGATGCTTGTGAGCTCGGTCTGCTCGATGCTGTTTTCACCCGCATGGGAGCTGGCGACAATATGATGAAAGGCGAATCAACTTTCATGGTCGAGGTTGGAGAGACAAGTGACATACTCAAGCAAGCCACACCGAGAAGTCTGGTTATACTGGATGAGCTGGGGCGAGGCACTAGCACTCACGATGGTGTTGCAATCGCACAGAGTGTCCTGCATCACATGGTCACTGTGCAGAAGAGCTTGACTCTGTTCATCACGCATTACCAGTCCCTGGCACGAGTTGCAGACACTGTCGCCGAGAGCGAAACGAATGTGAAACCGCTTCGAAACGTTCACATGCAATTTCGCGAGAACGACAGCGAGTCCGCGGCTGGGGAGAAGGACATCACGTTCTTATACGAGGTCGGAGAAGGGGTTGCACACCGCAGCTATGGTCTGAACGTCGCTCGACTTGCTGGGCTACCCAAAAGCTTGCTGGAAGTGGCAGCGAGACGAAGTCGGGCAATGGAAGAAGAGGAAGGTCGTCGTCGCATGACATATCTTGCGAAAGCAATGTCTATGGTCATGCAGGATGGCTCTGGAACCGCGCTCGACAGGTTGGTGACCGGCGTCGAGCAGTTGTAGACAAGTGTTTGCCGGCATGATGGAGTGTGAAAATGTCGCCTGATCTGGTCCGCCCTAGGTGGCGCCTGTAGGCCACTGTACATCAATGTGTATGATTATCTGCTTCTCAAACTTTGGAAGCCGCCCTTTCAAATATGAGTGCGAGCTCATCAAATTGGTGCCAAAGATGATGTGCTTGCGATATCGGAAGCAAAGCTCGACACACCTTGCGGGCCAATTGCATGTTCGCTTTTTCGCAAGCAAATACTCACAGTCCTTGCCACACACCCACTTTGAGCGCATACGCAGTTGAAGTGGACAGCTGAATATGGGATCAATACCTTCGGAACGCCGCTTCAAGGCTGACAGTATTTGCATCATAGGCGCTGGTCCCAGTGGACTAGCAGCAGCGAAGTAGGCTTCACGAGATTTCTGACTCCCACGCCTTTGTAGTATGGTTGACGATGAGGTAGGTATCTGATCGCAGAGAAAGCATTCTCGAGGGTTGTCATCTACGAGCAGCGTTCGAAGACAGGCGGGCTATGGAATTATTTGCCCTGTAATGAGGGCTCTGCAAAAGTTCCTGTACCACAAACAAATCCTCATGCTGGGCATGCTGAGCCGGTCTGGGGACAAGTCGGGCAAGATGGCAGTGTGAGCGAAGAGCCGGACTTCATCTCACCAGTCTACGAACGGCTCGAGACGAACATTCCACGAGGGCTGATGGGCTTTTCCGATCTGGACTGGGATGAAGATCGCCAACTCTTCCCAAAGCACGAAGACGTCCTAAACTACATTCAAACTTACGGCAAAGACGTCTCACACCTCATAAAATTACGCACCCAAGTCCTCGACGTCCGCCTCCGCCCCGACGAAAAATGGACAGTCACCACAACTCCCATCTCACAACCCAACAGTCCCCAAGAACCCACTGAAGAGACCTTCGACGCCGTCATCTGCGCCAACGGCCACTACGAAGTCCCCTACATCCCTCAAGTCCCCGGCATCTCCACCTTTCACTCAACCTACCCAAACACAATCTCCCACTCAAAATTCTACCGCAAACCAGAAGCCTACACCAACAAAAAAGTCATCATCGTCGGAAACTCCGCTTCAGGAATCGACATCGGCTCCCAAATCGAACACGTCTGCAAACTTCCCCTCATAATTTCTCAGAAGTCGGAATCCTACCTCAACGTCGAAGGCTCCAAACCGACGAACATCAAAATCGAAAAACCAGAAATCATCGAATACATCCCCCAAAACCGAACCGTAAAATTCTCCGACTCCACAACAGAATCCCACATCGATGCAATCCTCTACTGTACAGGCTACTTCTACTACTACCCCTTCCTCTCCTCCCTGCACCCTCCAATAATAACAACCGGCGAAAGAGTCCAAAACACCTACCAACACATTTTCTACGCACCAAACCCAACCCTCTCTTTCCTAGTCCTAAACCAAAAAGTCATTCCGTTTCCGATGGCGGAAGTTCAATCTGCCGTTATCGCTCGGGTTCTTTCCGGCCGTCTCTCTTTACCTTCGTTGCACGAGATGAAGAGCTGGGAAGAGGATGTGGAGAAAGAAATGGGAAAGGGACGGAATTTTCATGTTTTGAAGTTTCCGAGGGATGCGGAGATGATTAATTTTTTGGGGGAGTGGGCTAGAAGCGCGGATGGGGAGGAGGTTGGGATTGTTGGGGTTGGGATTGTGGGGAAGAAGCCGCCAAGGTGGGGAGCGAAAGAGTTTTATACGAGGGAGAGGTTTCCGAATATTAAGAGTGCGTTTAATGCGTTGGGGGAGGAGAGGTATCAGGTGAGGAGGTTGGAGGAGGTGGGGTTTGATTTTGAGAAGTGGAAAGCAGGGACAGAGGAGGGAGGGAAGGGGAAGTAGGAGCGTGGACTGTGTTGCATAGAGATCTCGATACAAGATAGAGCGGAATCAATCGTGCGATGGATCCGAGAGCTTGGTCAGTGAAAGGCGAACGGTGGGCTGTTCGACAACCTGGGTACCAGGCATGAATGAGAGTCGCAGAGAAGACCTGGCAATGACTCAACAATGTATTGCGTGTTATGTTTCGTCTATACAACTGTACATGTCATGAATCGAGCTAGTCATATCGAGACAAAATGGTCTCATCTCACAACACTGTTCTTTCTTGATGCTGTCGGCGTACCGCGTGGCGTGACACGAGTCTCGCCAAAGAATCTGGAGTATGGTAATTAGTAGGTTCGCAGGGAAGAGAATGTTTCTGGCGAGAACTTACCGTTGTGATTGTGAGTAGGAGCGCTCGTTGAGTCCGGGACGGCCAGCCGCTGCACCTGTCGTGTGTTAGCACGTCAATCTTCCAAAGCGAGGTCACAGCAGAGCGACTTACTGGCTCTTCGGGAGTTGGCAATGTAACTCAATCGTCTGCCTCCTGTGCCTCCGTGGTCCACGCTTTCGTTCCTAACGGCAGCCAACTGTTGTGCGAATGGAGATCTCTTCCGGAGTGTAGGACCCTTCCAGTAGATTACGTAAACAGCTGCCACAAGCAGGAAGGAAATGCAGAACAAGATGGTACTCGCGTATTCCAGATTATTCGGAGGACTGATATTCGTGAAGAATGGCGTGGCAGGGACTGTCAGCACACCAGCCAGGAAGTCTCGTGCCCAACCGTTGCCACCAGTGGCAGATGCGGAGTATGGGCCGTACGCGCAAATCATGTAGTCGATGGTCGCCATATAGATGGCATAGTTCGCGATGCCCACGATTGCGGCGAAGATCATGGAGCCGATCCAATGAATTGGTGGTCCTTGAATAGTCCAGGCAAAGCCAATGAGACCGATGGGCAGGCAGGGTGCCAGATACAACAATAGCCACAGCCTCGACTCATACTGCGCTCGCTCGTCATCCGGCTTGGCCTGGCGTTCTTTGATGTTACGCCTGATGGCAGGGATGAAGAAGATCCAGGCGAGAACATAGCCCACACCAATGGGGATGAAGGCCAATCCGATCTGCACAGTGGAGAAACCCCATTGATCGTAGACCAATGCAAAGGATTGGATGAACATGAAGATCAGAGCGTCAGAGAAGCCGGAGAGCAAGGAGAGTACCAATACGATGGGCTCTGTCAAGAACATCTTGAACGGGCGAATCCAGGTCACCAAAATTTCTTTGGCGGAGAACCTCTCCTTGAATGGCACCAGCTCATCAGGTCCCCACACATTCGCGTCTGGGTTTTGCTTTCTTCGCTTCTTTGCGATGCGGTTCATCATGATGGTCGTTCGTGTTTCCGGCACTGTGGCTGCGTGGAGAAGTTGGACGGCACCTCCAAAGATGAGCTGGATCCAGATGGACCATCTCCAGTCCAGGTAGGCTTCACTGAATCCGCCAACGATAGGACCCAGAATAGAACCGCCGACTGAAGAGAAGACGACGAAGGCCACTGCATATTGTTGATTATCCGACTCCCACATGTCTGCAATCATACCCAAAGTGACGGAGCCTCCAGCAGAAGACAGACCACCGAGAGCACGACCGACCATGATGGTGGCGAAGTTGGGAGCGAGGGCGACGGGAAGTTGCCAAATGTTGACTAGGAACAACGACAGCTGGAGGATAGGCCAGCGTCCAAACTCTTCTGACCAAGGTGCCCACAGTTCACAGCCGAACGCGTATAGGACGAGGAAGATCATGGCACCGCATCGAGCAGCTTGCGCGCTGACGCCAAACTCTTCGCTGATGCCGGGAATGGCATTGGAGTAGAGCGAGGTGTTGAAGTTCATGGAGACCTGGACAATGAAGATCACACTGAGAATGTACCACTTCTTCCAAGACGGGAAGCAGAAGCCCAGCTCCTGGTAGCAGTCCTCCTCTGTGAGCTCGTACTTGTCGTAGGTGCCGAGCTGTTCGAGCTTCTCGCCATTGCGGTTCGCGCTGTGGTCCTGGTGGTTGTCGACATGGTCGCGATCGGAAGTGGTCTTGTCGGAATGCTGATCATCGTCGTTCTCGCGGTGTAGCTTCTCGTTGGCATGATCCAGGTCAGCCTGGTTGATGACGGCGGGCGCGTCGTCGGTGAAATGCGTGTTCTTGGGCATGCTGGGCGACACGCTGTGGCGAGATATGAGATGCTGTGCTATGCTGTGCCCTCGACAGCTGCTCCACGATCACATCGCAGCACGGTGGGCGGGGGCACGCGAGCAGTATATAAAGGGCGGTCATGTCTGGCAACGCGACGCCGCTGATCGGCAGTGACGCCGACGTGCGTGTGGAAGGAATGATGGAGCCACACACTCCATATGGAGAGTGGAGGAGGGCAATGACGCTCCACAGCAGCGCCAACGGGGATCGCTCGCTCCTGCTGCCACGGCTGCCGTTGCAAAGCCTGCCAAGCCCGTGCTTAGTTGCGTTCTTGGTGCGCTTGACTGCGCGAAGTTCGACTTGTTCGTGTGCTCTCCGTGTCTCCACCGCCTCCCGACGACGTGACTGATAAAGTGCTGCGGGTGGGTCGGCAGAGAGTTTGCACCATGCCCGATCGCAACTGTGATCTCATCCGCTCGCCATCGTCGATTTTGCTGGTTCATGTGCCACCTGCGCTGCAACGCTCGCGAAGGATTGTGCAGTCGCAACTCCTTGCTTGGACGGCAAATTGGATCACTTGTTGCAGCATCGAGGAATGCGGATCACCATGCGTGCACGATAGCGCGGTGGTGCTGTCGTGGACAGCGCTCTGCATCTGGCACCGCTTGGACATGTCGCTGAACGAGAGATGCGGCCTCACCTCAAGACCTTCGTGATCGCAAGCCTGGCCATTTTGTTCTTCGCGCTGCTGGCATCACAATCATGGATCGCCATCTCGCAATATCTGGAACGCCAACGACAGGACGTGCTGCTGCGCGAGAGCCTTGCGAAGCAAAATAATCAACTCCAAGCATCTCTACAGCAAGCACAAGATGAAGCTGATTCCATGGCCAAGGCTGCCGCTGCTGTGACAGAATCAGAGAGGAGCAAATTTGCCTACACCTTCTACGCCACTACCGACAAATATGCATGCGGAGTGCTTGTCAACTTACGCCGCCTCGAAGAATTGAAGGCTCGCTATCCCCTACACGTTCTCATTTCACCCAACATCACAGAACCGTACGTGACCGCACTAGAAGCCGCAGGTGCTCGTACACACGTCGAGACTCCTCCACCTCTTCCTGGCGAAGGGGTCGGCTACTACGCGGATTGTCTGTTGAAGCTCCTGGCCTTCAAGCTTCATCGTATCAACCCGGGCTTGGAGCGTGTGCTTGCATTCGACTCTGACCAGCTCATCATGCAGAACCTAGACCAACTCTTCACCGGCCTTCCGATTGGCAGTATTAGCGCCCCACGAGCTTACTGGATTGCCAAGGACTTCCTCGCGAGCACCTTCATGATGATCGACCTGTCCGATCGATTGTGGAATGCAGTCAGCACAGCCGTCGCTGAAGCTGGCATGGACGAATTCGACATGGACATCATCAACAAATTGCTAGGTAATTCAGACTCTTCATGAGTAGGACAAACCTCGATCTGACTTATTGTAGGCGGTGAAGTAACCATGTTGAGTGAGTCTGGTCGCCGCAAACTCTCTATAACTTGACTGAACGTTCGGTAGGCGGCTCGTATATCACGCTCAACAGTCATTGGTACCATTTCCCGACTCATGAAATCCTGTGCTTAAGCTGATAAAAGTTTCATCGCGAAGGGAAGACTGGAACTTGCCATCGTGGTATCACTCGGACTCTGCGCAGCGGCTCAACTGGACGATGATCAACAAGGTGAATGAATTGTCCAAAGCCATTGCAGTTGCAGAAGACATGCGTCGAGACGCACCACACTCGATCGTCATACCACGCCCCCGCCTCGAACAGGCATCGCCAGAGCCTCAACCACAGATCGAACCCAACGTGGCTCACTCCTCCGACACGACCACTGACGGCAGCTTCGTCGATCAGCACATTCCGTCTGGACCACGCTTCCCCGAACATCATCCTCTCTGGCAAGAGCTGTATTTGCTACAGTCAGCGGCGGCCGTTATCCACTTCTCAGCTGTTGGAAAGCCATGGGACGTCACTGGAGAATCCTTGCGCTCGCGAAAGCCTGATGCACACCCTCTACTAGGCGAGCAATTCCTGACGTGGAGACGGACTGCAGGCAGCGTCTGTCCAGGCTATGGCAGTCTTGATCCCTTTGAGTACTGATGTGCTGATAGATCCAGATGATTCGAAATAGTTCCTTCCTGACCATGACATCTCACATCTGAGCTCGCATTCAGAGCCTTGCTTTGGCTGCGTCAATTGCTGCGACGATGCCAGCTCTTACGTCCTCCACAATTTCTGCAGCAGGTTGTTCCACCTTGACAAGCCCGACCCCTGTGCCTGCCCAAGTCGCCGCTCTGCCAGCTTTAAGCTCGCTAGAGTAGCCTGCGGTGTCGCTGCGCATCGCCTCCGTATGGCGTTTGCGTATCTCCTCGATCCCAACCCCTTCATTATGCTCAATAAAGCTCGCATTCCTGATACTCCTCCCATCATACAACACAGGCCACTTATTCGGCCCTCGCAACTCATCAAACACTTTACTCCGCACAGTACTCTGCCCTCCATCCATAGCAGCCAGAACAGCAGCACGATACTCCGGATGCATATGCGTCTCCGGCGCAGAAAGAAATCTCGTACCCAACACCACACCCTGCGCACCAAGCGTAAACGCCGCCGCAGCACCTCTTCCATCTGCAATCCCGCCGGCCGCAACTACAGGTATATCGTAACCGTTTTTTGTCAAGTTGTCGATTACTTCTGGAAGCAACGAAACAATACTCGCCCCTCTCTCCCAACCATGTCCACCGGCATCAATGCCCTGAATACACAACACATCCGGCCTCCCCTCCTCCTCTCTCACAACCTCTAAACTCGCCGCTACAGAACTCACTTGCACAAAAATCTTCGATTTCGGCAACACTTCCCTTATTGCCCTAATCCACTCCGCATAATCTGATAACTCATGACTAGCGAAGAGCCACACGACAGCTGGTCTATATTTCCTCAATACAGACAAAGCAGTTTCTTTCTTTGTGACGAAGGTGAGGAGTCCTACGCCAATTGGTAAGAGATCATCGTTGGAGGTCCGGATTAGTGCTTTTTCGACTTTGGAGAGTTCGAGTGAGAGGTCGCGCATGTCGTCTGTTGCGCCGATTTGGCCGAGGCCGCCGGCTTTTGTTACGGCGATTGCGAGGGAGGATTTTGCGTAGCTGCCCATCTGGGATCTATTAGATGTTTGTGGATTATGTGTAAAGTGAAGAAGAGAAGCCGAGGTTAGATGATGTTGTTGGGTTGAAGGTGACTTACTGGGGCGTTGATGATGAGGGGACTTTTGGTCCATGGGAACCATTTTTGGAGAGACATTGTTTGGTTTTGAGGTTTGGGGTTGTAGTTTGGGATGGGGAATGGATGAGGTTGTTCAGCTGAACTTGAAGGTCAAGCAGAAGATCGTCGAGAGGCTTGGCGTTGACAAGTTCGACTGACGTTTGGTCCTGCCGATCTTCAGTCCTCTTCTTGCCAATCATCCTACGGCATTATCACGATTTAAGTCCCTGGTTATGCTGTCTCGTGCAGAATCTATTGTCGGCTGAGATGGATGGCAACTGATCATTGTGACTCGGTCGTGGATAGACAGCCTGTGGCGACACGGTGTTGCGAACAGTGGAGAAGGAACGACTGACGCGGCCGGAAAGGGGGCAAGCGTATCACAGCAAGCTCCATCCCACAAGCTTTACACCTTTGCAATGCACAATGGGCTTTTTTCGCGACAAACATCAATACCATGTTCTCACTCATGACGATGGCTCCTCTGAGGCGCTGGCGGGTGGAGAGCAAGCTCCACGTGCATCAACGAGGTGGACTTCACGATGGATCTGGATCGTCCTTGGGTTAGCTGCTGTTTCGCTCTGCAGCATACTTGCCTGGTTTGTGTTTTCTTCATTTCCGGAAGGACGACAATACCGGCCAGGGCCTCTAAAATTCACCAAAGAGGGCACATTCCAGATAGCTGTCTTTGCGGACTTGCATTTCGGGGAGAGTAAGTGGCTACTTAGGAAGCCCATGTTGATGAAGCTCACATTTTGATAGATGCATGGGATCAATGGGGACCACAGGTAAGCCTTGAACAGGATTATAGGAGTCCATGCTGATGATCTGTAGCAAGACATCAACACTCAAAGAATCATGGGCGGTATTCTGGATGCTGAATCACAACGATTGTGAGTAGCAGGACAATCGGCACCAAGGTCATACTACGTTCTGATCTTCTCGCACCAGATGCGTACTCAATGGCGATCTTATTACAGGCGACAACAGCTATTTTCACAATAGTTCTGAGTATATCGACCGAATTGTAAAGCCGATTGTTAGTAGAGGACTGCCCTTCGCTTCAACGTATGGAAACCACGACTCGGCTTTCAATCTGTCACGGGAGCAGATCTTCGACCGAGAGCATCGATATAAGGAGTCTCTCACTGCGAACATGGTGTCAGGAAGAAATGCCGGCGTCTCAAACTATTACCTCGAAGTCTTCCCGCACGATGGAGGCGACATTCCCTCGTTGCTACTTTGGTTCTTCGACAGTCGCGGTGGCTTCTACTACCAAGAAAGGAACGATGAAGGTGAACAAGTCGGGCAGCCGAATTGGGTCGATCAATCCGTCGTGGACTGGTTCCTTAAGACCAATGATGAGCTGGTGTCCAAGCACAACAAAACGATTCCATCGTTGGCCTTTGTTCACATTCCCACCAACGCGAGTGCAGCTCTGCAGACAGAAGTTGGCGTTGATCGACATCACGAACCAGGAATCAACGATGACTACATTCTCTCCCCTCAAGCCCAAGGCTGGTGTCCCGATGGCAAGCAATCTTGCCCCTATGGCGGTCAAGACGTGCCTTTCATGCAAGCTATCGCGTCGACTCCTGGCTTGATGGCCCTATTCAGTGGTCACGATCACGGAGATACATGGTGCTATAAATGGGAAGGTCTAGTTCCCGGTATGAGCGTCAAAAGTAATGGCGTCAATCTCTGCTTCAGCCAGCATTCTGGATACGGTGGCTATGGGAGCTGGGAGCGAGGAGCGAGGCAGATACTTGTGAGAGAAGAAGATTTAGAATCGCAAATTGTGGAAACTTGGATCCGTTTGGAGAGTGGGAAGATTGTGGGAGCTGTGACGCTGAATTCGACGTATGGCGAGGATACTTATCCTGCGACGCCGAACACCAAGTCGCATTGTCCGACTTGCGATTATGCGATCATTTCGGCTATGCCAGGGATTGAGGATGTGCCGTCTTGAGATGAGGGACGACTTTCGACGCAAGCAGGAGCAAAACGGACCGCAAGACACCGTCCGGCTCCACACCTCTCGCAAGGGGCCACCAGGAATATGCCACATTCGTGAGCCGCGAAACTTGCATTCTTTGGGAGGACCGCCCTTGTCACCTGGCCTTTCTCTGCCTTCACGGTGCTGGAAACTCGCCATATTGGTGATTGAGACTAGCACTGCGAGTAACGTTGAGGGCTGGGCTTCATGCCGTGCTATGAAGAGCATAGATTGTTTGAATCGTCCAAGCTCAAGGTGAGCCAGTCGTATCTGGCGCAGCAGAGACTGGCTCACTCTTCTCTGTACCAGCAACGGACGCCTTATTGCTATCCGCCTCCGCCTGCAACTGCGCCTGAAGCTCAATAAACTCCTTCGCCTTCTTCCTCCGCTCCTCCTCAGCACGCTGTCTCTCCGCTTCAGCAGCATCCACTTTCGACTTCCACTTCGCTCTCGCCTCAGTCAAAGCATCCGATGCCACCAAAATATCATGCCGATTCCACTGCTCTTGAGGAACCATCACCAAATCCTTCAAAATCTTCACCTTACTCGATATTGACTGCAAATCTTGATCTTCCCCACCCCCTTTCCCGAATCCTCCCTCAAGTAAATCCTTCTCACCCCCAAAAATCGCCTCATGCGCAGAATTCAACATAACCTTCTGCGCATCCGCAATAGCAGAAACAAGCGGCTGCGTAGCCTCTTCAAGCTTACTCGCCAACTCCGTGATAGCGTCTAAATCATTCGACCTCTCACCATCATTGACCAAATTCTTCAAGTCCTCTTTCTGCTTCTCAATCGCCTCTCGATGATCCGGTCCCAATCTTTCCCCATAATCTTCCAACCTTTGCTCAACTTTGACAATCAATTCCTGAACTTTCAATCTCTTACTCGCTGCTTCCTCCTTCTTCGCCTTTCGTAGAGAACTCTGCTCTGCCCAGAAATCTCGCGCTTCTTGAGGATATGAAGTGGATTTTAATGGGACTTCCCAGTCGTCGAGATGTTGTTCCGCGCGATTCAGCCAGTGGATCATGCGTTCTTCTCGATTCGGAATTCCAGCGAAGTGAACGAGGAAATCACCTCTTCGGAGCTGGAAAGGTGCAAGAGTCTCGTTATGTTCGCCTTGATATGCATTAAACCAACGTTGAGGCGCTTGCACGATATGCGGAGAGAATGTCGGATGATGGAGGAGATTGTCCATTGCGGATTGATCGCGGAAAACGAGCTCGTCGGTTGGTCTGTAGTGTCTGTAAGACACGATTGCTGAGAAAAGGTTTACGGCCCATTGATTGACTCGCACGGGGAAGACGCCGTTGTTTAAACCATTCCAGTCGTTGGAGTAGACGAGATGGATGTCTTCGAATTCGGAGTCTGGAGGTGGGAGGAAGACGTCGATTGGGATGTGGGGGTTGAGGAGGACTGTATCTGCGTCGACCCAGAGGAGCCATTCTAAGCGTTCGCTTTCGGGTTTTGCGAGTTCGCGGAGGAGGAGGCTGAGGATGTAGGCAGGTTTTGACCAGACGTCGTCTAGGAGTTGCTGACGCAAGATGTGTAGTCGGTAGCCGTGCTCTCGGTCATGGCGTTCGTGAGTTCGGATCGCACGCTCCCAGGCACTGTTGCCGTAGAATAGGATTGTGCATTTTCCAATGCGAGTTCTCGCGCCCAAGCGCTCTTCTTCTGACAAGCCATCGAGGACATGCTCTCCTGGTAATATCGCTGCAGTGTTGGTCGGCTGAGTCTGCTGCGTAGCTGTCGCATTTGCTGCTTTTCCAATCGCCTGAGCAAGTTGCGGCCTGTGGTATGGGTTCAAGGAGTGCAGTTTATCCTTGACCGCGCTGTGCAATTCCGCCAATGCACCACTAATGGTAGGCGACTTCTCCAGATCAAAGCTAAGGTCTTCAGGCTGGTCTTCTGGCAGACTATCACCAATGACTCCTGCAGGCAACTCGGGCTTATTCAGACCAGTGCCGAACCCGCTTGGGTCATTCAAGACATTTCCAGGAGAAGGATGGTATGTGTGATCAATGTCTGCGAAGTTGTCATTGTTCGATGAGTCCAGGCTCGATGTCACCATCCACCCCATCATTACACATCCCACACCGACCATCAGGAATTTGAGCCTGCTCTTCGATAAAATGACGCCACGCGTGCGGCTTGGTCGGAGCCATTGTGGGATGTTGCTCGGTAGAAGAGGCGAAAGAGGTGACGAAGGTGTCGAGTCGTGGTAGGATCTCTCTCTTGATGGACTACGTGATGGCATCCTGTCAACGAAGTTTCGGGATCTTCATCTGTTGTCCCTTGACCCCCTCGAACCAGTCAGAAATGGTTCTCGATTCAGCAGAATTTTGGTGAAGCAGATGCTGTTCGAACAAAACTTCCACGTACCCTGTGAGTGACGCTCGAGCTCGAGCTACGTGTTTACATACCAGTAGACCGACATAGCTGACGCAAGGGCTTGCAGCCCTGGCACGGGCCCTTCGCGTCCCTTTTTCAGCGCAAAAGTCTAGGCTCAGCCCTACCAGGGCGCGTGAACGATCATCTCTTAAAAATTCTCAAAACATCATACTGATCAAAGCTACGATATAGCGATTGACCACTTCTGCATGATTTGATAGCAGCAGTAAAGCAAGGGCCCTGTCGGCTATTCGATAGAAAATTCCCTGTTATGAAAGACATCAATGGCGCCGTCGGCGACCCAGGCAGAAAATGTGATGCTGCGAAGATGTCAGGCGCTAGCAGATAACGCAGGTACGAGAAAGATAGAGAGCACGCACGCCGGCCGATCTGTGTGAGACATTGCACGCTCCTTGCTTCGCGAGCCCTTTCAAAGAGGGTCTTGCCCATGGCCGGTACTGCAAGTCAAAGTCGTGAAAACTACTCCGCCAAATCGAATTCCACAAATATCTCATCCTGACGACGAAGCTTCTTTGCGCGTCGCAGAGTGTCGAACTTGAGGACCGGCTGCCATGTGTCCCAATTGGGGTACCACTGTTCTTTGTAGAGCGCTGAATCTTGAAGCAGCCAGGCGCGACCAGTTTCATATTCTTTGGGCGGTTGCGTCAGCAGCATGCGCCTCCACGACGCTTCCGGATAGCAATGAAGCTGCTTGGTCTGGTCGGCATCGCTTGAGAGTAGGTAAAGCCATGGATTCTCCAAGATAGGCACACCAGACGCCCACGGCTCGAAGAATTCTATCTCGTGACCATGTCCACCTGTGTGTTCCAGCTCGCTCGTGGAGATGAGAGCTCGCTGCTCAACGAGCTCGCACGATTGTGGTATGGGCCGAAAGAAAAGATATTGCTGAATCAACTCGCTCGACTCGACTGTGCGTCGCCACTGGCGGCACACGCGCTGCACCTGGCATAATAGGTTCTGAGGTGGGAGGTGAAGCAGAATCTCCTCAGCCAATTCGGGAACGTTGAAGGTCCTCTGGCAGGCGGTGGGCGGCGGTGGTCCAGGGACGGGTTGACGAGTTACCGCCTGGCTGTCGTGCTTTGGGTTCGGCGTCGATCCCACGCAGGCGAGCTGTCGCTTTGGAGCGGGTTCCGTGTCGGGAAACATCAAATCGTAGTGCGCTTCTGTGAAGCCATCCTCGAGATGGTAACGCTTGAAAGTCATTTTGCGGTGCTTGAATGAAGAACAGAGTGTGGGGAGTGTTTTTGAGCCCAGATGAGTTCTGGGTTGCGATGTCGAGGCGGAGAGCGGCGCCTGCTGCCAGAGCGGAGTCAAATGGACGAAGATGTCGCCGCTGGCCTTGACCTCACCTCACCTCGCTGCGCCCTCACCTCAACTTGTCCCCAGTCAGTCAGTCGCTGAAAAGCATCTCTTACTCTGTGATGACAGCCCTCCCACTACGAATTAGTTTGCCCGCGGACGCTATCTGAGATACGACTACCTTCTGCCGTCTACGTGGTCTGAGCACCTACGCCTGGTATGCGACGCGCCGCGATGGCCGACATTGATAAGCGATTGCGCTGACGTATAAAGTCATGGCCACATCCACAGTTCACATGTCGTGCCTCCGAAGGCCCGCTCGTCGTGCAAGACTGGAGGAGGTGCGGTGGTGAGAGCAGAAGCGAGTGGGGACTTCTCGAAGCTTTCATCCATCCCGGCGCGCGCCAACATGACCGCGCGCGGCGGAGAGCTCTCACCTCCGCACTCCTCTCACCCGCCGTCAAACACACACTCTCCTCCATCTCGCCCACCATGGCAACTCTCCTGGTACCTCGCATCACATGTCTACGAACCCTCACCGCAACCCGAAGATCCACTCCCGGCCTCCTCTCCGCCGCCTTCACCACCTCCGCGGCCCAGAACCCCAAACACACCCGACCCCAACAACCATGGACACAACGCACAACAACACGCTTCACATCTCCCCTCTCACATAACTCAAAACTGTCCCGCCGAGCCAACTCAACCTCCTCACAACCGCAACAACAACAAGAAGTCCCAGACCACATCCTAACCTGGAACCGCTTCTTCGACCTCCGCCGAAAGCGACGATGGATCAATCTAGGCTGCAGCGTCCTAACCGCCTTCGGCACCGTAGGCCTCGTCGCACCAATGCTAGCAGAGCAAGACTTTGATACCTGGGGAGCACAAATTTCCGGCTTGGATCCTATTATCGTGCTAGGAATCAGCACATTTGCCATTGCGGCGGGAGGATGGCTGATGGGACCGACGGTGGGAAATTTGGGATTTGGGATGTGGGCGAGTAGACGTGGGTGGAAAGCGGGGATTGCAGAGGTGAGTTGATAGACAGAATCGAAAGGGTGGTGGGCGAGTCTGTGACTGACTGAGATGTGTGTCAACAGAAAGAAAAGAGCTTCTACGCTCGTATCAAGCGCTATCGCGCCGATGCCTCCGCGAGCAGTCCTCAGAATCCTATTCCAGATTATTACGGCGAGAAGATTGGTAGTGTGCAGGCATACAGGAGGTGGTTGAAGGATCAGAAAGCGTTCAATCTGAAGAAGAACAAGAATATGCTGTGAAGGAGGAACACGATCATGCTTCTGAACAATAATATAGTTAGAAAAGCACGAACGGAGGGCACGAAAAGGGCTGCATATGATTACAGACGCGGTGTTCAGCGTATGGCGTTAGGGGCGCAGGAACAGTCCACAGTTGCTATCAAGAGTCTGCCTGAGTGTATAGACGTTCCGCGCAGAATGTGGGAAGCTGGCAGCTCATACACTCCGCAAGATGAGCCGGACTCAAAATGTACTTTTTCTCATGTATAACATCCCGCATTCCACTCATGTTCGAGGGAGGCAGACGAAGCGTCCGGTCATGGCAGTCTCAAAGCACGAGAAGCATTTGTTCAATGCCGGTCTTAACACTCTGTCTTTTGGCGATCACCTGGCTGACCGAAAGCACGGAAGAAGCTTCAATATGGTTTCATCCGATGCCCTCATATATCGCACGGCACGGTATCACTCCGTAGGTGTTACCATCTCTTCACCTGGAATAAGTGGCCAATGACCCTTGGTTTATCGGCGATCGATCTTTCTTTCTTTCTTCTTTTTGTCGAAGAGCACTGGAGCTTCCTAACACATACAGTATTAGTCTGTCGTGTCTGGCGCAACCGATGAACGCTCGAAATTTTGCACCTCTCCACTTCAATCAACGTCATCTAATGGAATGCCGAGAGTAAGCGCTACTTGTGGCGTTTCGTGGTTCAGATACGCCATTTTTTCCTTCCATATGTATGACACGACCCATCGCGAATGCTGGAGCTAGCAGATCGACGGCCGGCTCAAGGTTCAGCCAGATGTCTCTCGAATGGTCTCCTCTACAATGCACCACCGCTGCGTCAGCATATGCCTGTTCAAAATCCAGTAAACCCCCCCCCTCGCCGATCGCTTGTGTATCGCTGTATGTGCATATCCCATGTGTCCTGTGACCCACAGAACGTGATCGAGATTTACCTGGTGGTAGCAAACCTCGGACCATCAACCACTATCGGTGGTACCTTGCATCTGCTGGTCGAACGAAGAGCGCTGCGACTGCATCGCCTTCACCGAATATCAATCTATCAGATTAGAAGTGCCGTAGTGCTTGCTACCCACTTGCGCCACCCATATGTTGTCACAAGGCGCCAAGCGCTTCTTAGACAAGCAGGGTGCAAGGATAAAGATGGAGAGATCGACATGCGGCATACTGATGATAATGCCTGCTGCATGATGCGTCCAACCGAAGCAAAGCTAACTAGCAGCTTCCTGAAGGTCCTCGAGGCGGTCTGATCTCCGACTGGAAGACTGGGAAATTTGAGCCGGATGCAGCGATGAAGGATGGAAGGTACAGTGGCACAAAAATGACTTGCTTGTGTAGATCTGCTGTATGCGAGCCGCCTACGAGCGAAGCGTGGTGTCTACCCGTCTGTGGCGACTGCCATGGACGAGATTATTGGGAGAATGTTGTGGGATCTGTGACGAGGCCCCTGTAGCGCCATGTTGAAAATTGCTAGTGGGATGGACTGAGCTCTTTCTGGATCATCTTGCCGTACTTGCGTGTTGAATGAGCTTGACCAGTATTGACGCAAGTGCTGGCGCGTGATGAGGAAGAGCAGCTGCCGCACAAGAACAGTGCCTGGATGTAAGTTCACTGCCATTCAGGCTAGTTCATCCGCCAGCCTTCCCACGTGTGTACTTCCGCTGCTCGGTGGCACGCATCTGCAAACACTGCCTGCTCTTTCACTTCTGACGATTACACGCAGCATTTGAGTTGGTGGAGTCGACCAGGAGTTCGTTCCACAGGAAGGAGCTGAGTATGCGCAAACTCGTCGCTCATGTCCGTGCCGATACCTAATGCCGCTTCACTCGTCCGACCCGATGTTAGTTAGCTTGAATGAAAGACGTCGACAATGAATGGTACGACAATCTAGCGTGCACCAAAATGTCAACATCGGCACGGCGAAGAACTGATCTTGGAGAGGTTTGGTTGTTGCCGAAGAGATGAGAGTCGTCGTATGCAATGTCTGCAATCCAACACGATCACATGCGGTTGTGAGCTGCCCGGTCCGGGAATAATAGTAACTTTGTAGCCGAAGTCTGAGCGGCCAAGGCGAAGCAAGACGTCAACACGGTCTTGATTTGAGATTGGTTCAAGATTGAGTTCGCAGATCCTCTGTAACTCGACAGCGCTCGCTCGACTTCTCTATACACGGAATAGAACGGCGAACAGGTGGTCAATTTCGCAGCAGGAACGGTTTGAGCGGAGGGCTAAGAGCACAGCTTTGTTGTTCGGTGCCGGTTTCCATTGACCAGGGTGAGAGGCTGAGGAAAGCGCCTCATACTCTGACAGACCATAGTCTCCCCCGGAGCAGTATTCGGGCCGTCTTTGTCCGAGACGTCGAGCGTTCCGACTCCTCCAGCTCGTACGTCGAGATGCAACACTGTATCGCCAGATTCTGATGAGTGCTGCCTGTGCAGGAGGGGCGGTGGCTCCCGCAATGCCGCTCATGTCAGTGGTGGAGGACGTATGATGGGCGTAGTTGGCGTGTGCGAGGTACTGTAGTAGGGTTCCCGGAAGCTAGCCGCCGCCAGTCCTGCAGCCTTCCCCCACCATCGCAAGCAGAGACCACCTGCGTTGCTGCATTGACAGTAGTGATGGCAGACCGCAACAGCGACAGATGACGGACGTGCGAGGCATTCCTGTGTCACCACACGCAGCCGTGGGCGCGCAACTACCGTGTGGCGTAGGGCGGCCAGGCCAGGCAGTTCCTCGATCCCGGCACATTGGAAGCTATGGCGGCCGCGACAGCGGAGAAGGGCAGAAGCGCGCCGCCACGTTGTCTGCAGACGCACGCAATCGAGCCTTTTCTCGTGGACTCCGAACGGGCCATTGGCGAGTCGCGCTGGGATCGGGAGCTCCTCCGCCGCTGCGCGCCACAGCACATGCCGGAGATTCCCTTCGCGCGGCAATCCTGTGATCCCTCGTCCACGCTCGCCAAATCATCCTCCCCCTCCGCCGCCGTCAACCAGCGTCATCGACCGCCAGCGCGAGGAGGGCCACGCACCGACGACGCCTCGAGGACACCCATCTGCCATCTGCCAGACGCCAGCGCGCGCCTCGCGTGAGGCCCAGCGCTCGGCTGTGGCCCTACATGGCATGCCGCC